AATGCTATCTTATTCAAACTTATCTAAAAAATATTAGAGTGAAGGACTCCTAGCTACCAATTACCTCCAAAATAGGAGCCTTACCAAATTTGTATAAGGTACAAAATTTCATTTGAATTACGGTACAAATGCCAACTAAATTTATCTTAACTTATAATATTTGATTGCAAATTTCATGTATTTATTCCTAAAGAAATAAGAAAGAAGTTAGACTCTCATTCACAAGAAACTATCTTTCTAGGCTATAGTGAAGAATCTAAAGCCTACAAACTTATAAATATACAAAATTAACAAATTCTTATTTCCAGAGATGTTTTTTTTAATGAAGATTTACATGCTTCAAAAGCAAAATACTTACCAAATGAAAATGAAAAGCTCTTACTAGACTTAGAATTATTTAAGCACCCTATAACAACTATAAGGACCAATGAGCAAAATATCCCTCCTATTCAAGGAATGTCTTCACCATCAATGCCACACCTCCAAGACATCCATGTATTTGATCAATATCTACTACCTAGTACTTCTCAAAATATGGAAGAACAACTTCCTTCTCACATTGATGTCATTGACAACTACTATTATTATCCAATGATGATGAGATATTACCTCTTGAACATGATGAAGCTCATTCCACATTGCAAGATTCAAATTTTCCTTTTAGTTCTCGACCAACAAGAATTATTAAACCAACCACATGGTTATTAGAGTCTATACAAGGATCAAAAGAATATAAATGTCAATGTCATAGGCATCACTAAGTCCACCTTATTTCTACCATCATAGAAGCTCCAAACTCCATTCAAGAAGTAATGAAGAGGGATAATGCTCAAGCATGGCAAAAAGCAATTAATGCTAAAATTACATCCTTAAACAAAAATAATAAATAGAAAATGATAAATTTACCACCCTAATTGAAAACCAATCAGTTCAAAATGGATTTTTAAAATCAAAACTAAAGCTGATGGAAGTATTGAGAAGTATAAAACAAGGCTAGTTATAAGAGATTTCATCCAAGTTCAAGGCCTTGATTACTTAGAAACATTCTTTCCCATAGTCAAACTTAACTCTATCAAAGTTCTTCTTGTCTTAGTCACTCAACATAATTTGGAAATATATCAACTAGATGGAAAAATAGCATTTTTAAATGGTTTTATAGAAGAAGATACATATATATGACTATTCCAGAAAGATTACCTCCTACATATACTAACAAGGTATGTAAATTAAATAAATCCCTCCATGATTTTAAACAATCTTCTAAAGCTTGGTATCAAAGATTAAATCAATACTTACTTCTTCATAAATATCAACATCTAGAATCATATGCAAACATTTAGATCAAAAGAAAAAAAAAAAAAAAAAAAAATTACTATAATTACAATCTATATTGATGATTGTATCATTATTAGCAACAAAATTTCTTTAGTTCAGCAAGTAAAAAACATTTTACAAGAATAATTTGATATGTCAGATGAAAAAAAAAAAAAAAAAAAAATTACATTCTAGGCAATGACATTCTAAGAAACCAAAAAGAAAGATGGATAATCCTCTATGAAGCCAAATATTTAACAAATAAACTTCATGAATTTAATATGTTGAGTTTCAACCCATTAAGTAGTCCAATTCAAGTAAGAATTTATTTGAGTAATGAAGATTACATTACTTTCTAAGATTATTTCTATTCTTGAATTATTGGCATTTTAATGCATGCCATTGTTAATTCCAAACTAGATTGTGTTTATGCTATTAGCAGTTTAGCCTAATATCTTTTTAAACTAGGCTCTACACACATTCAAACTTTGAAAAGAACTATGAGATATATAAAAGGCACATTAAATTTTTGAATTAAATATCAACATTTATCTCACATTGATATTCTACATGGTTATTTTGATGCAGATAGGATAGATGACAAGGGCATGTATTGTTCCACATCTGGATTTTTCTTCTTACTAGATGGAGGAGTTATCTCTTCGAGCAGCAAGAAATAAAAATTTGTAGCTTTATCATCTATAGAATCAAAATACATGGCTTTAACAAAAGCCACAACTAAAGCCATATACTTAAGAAAGTTATTATATGAACTTGGATTTTCTCAACATGTATCAACCACCATATATTCAGATAGTCAAAGTGCCATTACTCTTAGTAAAAATCAAAAATATCACTCTAGAAGCAAATATGAGGACATACAATACTATTTTACTAGAGAAAAGATCCTTGCCAAGGAAATCAAATTGAAATATGTGCCAACCACACATATGAGAGAAAATATATTTACAAAATCTCTTTCCAAACAAAAACATTTCCAATCCTTATCTCAACTAGGTATGTATCTAATTCCTCTAATTCTAGAACAAGCTAATTGTTCTACCATCATTCAAGCCTTGCTGATCTATTCAAAATAACAAGAAATTTCACAACCTTCATATTTTGATACATCATGGAGTAAGAGACAATCTAGTTAGTAAATTTACTCCAAATCCATGACATTTTAAAATATCAGTCCTATCTATCCAACATGCTGCTTTTGAGCTTGCCGCAATCCAACTTGGTGCAATAGAATATTATACTCTGTTGTTGGGCTAGTTGCAAAGTCTGTCCCAAAGAATACAACAGAGCCTATAGTAGCACCTCCTATTGAGTCAGTCGCAGAGCTTGCGGCGGAGCTCGCACCCATGCTTGTTGTAGAGCTGGTTGCACATTGTTGCTTTTTGGATTATTACTATGGTCTTCGTTGAGCAACAGTTGATCATGGAATAGCCAAAAATAAATAAATAATTTGATTTCTAAAGCATCGTTGAATCGATAGCAATTTAATTTAATTTAATTTTTATTTTATTGTTTCAATATTATTCGTGGTACATCATTTTAGTGCCATGGTGCTAAATGTGTGCTTTTCGATGAGTTGAATCTAAGTTGTGCCATGTGTGCAAATGAAAGAAAAATAATTAATTCAAAGATTAATGTAAACTTTGACTACTAATAGTTGGATTCTAGTAATTTTCTTTGGATTTTTTGTGTTGTTCTTGTTTATTGTTAAAAATCAATTCAAGCTTATATTAAATTTGTAAGTTAGGTGTGTTTTGGTCTTCTATCTTTCATTTTTTTTTTTTCTTAATTCTAATTTTGATTAACTAAATATATTATATTAACTAGGTTAATTTTTTTAATAAATAATGTATATTTAGAAATATATATTTTTAAGCTTTAAATAATATAAAGCTTACTTATATACTCAAAAATAAATAAATAAATAAAATTTTACTCTAAAGTTATTTTCAAATATTAGTATGAGGCTTTATTTGGTCATTGCATTACTAACAAATAGAATGCTAAATAGTATCATAATATGTGTATTTATAAAACTTGATCTAACAAAACAACATATGATATTTGTGTAGCTTGTAAATTATTAGGATATATTTGTTTTTGATAAATTTTGTACCAATTCAATATGTTTTTATAGAATTATTTGATTCTTTTGCAATTAATACAAGTTTTGACAAGTTTTTGTATCTATTTTCTTACACTTAGTTAATATTATTATTTAGATAGTAGGTAATGACTTGAACTCTTAGATTTCTTTCACTTTATTATTTCATGGAATGCTATTATTTGTCGATACATGGTTAAGAGGGTGGATTCAATTAATTAAATAATTCTATGGTTTTTTATTTTAGGTCAATAAACCACAATAAAATAGTATCCACAAGTTAATCAAAGTTCTTTAAAAACAAATATATAATGTAATAATTTATTATGATTTTGTATATTATTCTTTTCAATATGTATATTTGATGTTTGATGTTTCTTTGTTTTTGAAAGATGATTGAAGCTTAATTTTAATTCTAATAACAATAGTTCTTTAGTTAAAAGAGTTCTTCAAAAGAAATTTGGATTTTCATATTATTTTGATTTGTAACACACTTTGATTGGAAAGAAGATTTTTTCTAACACTAAGATTTATTTATTTCTTTTCTTTGTTTAATTAAATAATTTACAAGAGGTAGTCTTTTTCTAATATTAATCATATGGTGAAGCCTAAGTAGATTTTAATTTACAAAGAACTACTTTGAAAGTTTATTATTATTGTCATACCTTTACAACATACTACCAATTGTATTGACTTCCTAATATTCTGACTCTTAATAGAAAAGAGGTGCATATTGGAAGAAGAAGAAGAAGAAGAAAAAAAAAAAAAAAAAAAAAAAAACTTCATATCTTCTAAGTTATTTGACCTTGACTTGATTTTAAGAGATTTTGTTTGGATATTATATTAGGAATGTTAATTTTTGAATTAGTTTTAGAATTATAAAGGAGTATGTGGGCTTTAAATTAATCAAATATAATAGTTTTTTTTTTTACATTAATAATGGTTTTCCAATACATAAATTTGATATATGCTTTTAAATTATTTCTTGTGGTCAAGAATCTTCTAATATTGTAGTCAAATCCACGTGTATTTTGAATCCTCTCTTTTAAATAACTAGTTTCTGCACTTCATATCATGGTGCATTTTTAATCTTTTAGTATTTTTTTTTTGTAAGTAGTTCAATTCATCATCTCAATTAAAAACTACTCTCTAAGTTAGTAATTTAAAAAATGTCCATGAAATATTTAACTTCAGAATAAAGCAGGTTACAACCAAAAGCATTTAAAATTTCTCACTTAAACAAATTAAGCACAATTTTGAAAGACATTGCAGTAAACTTTAAACCATGACTTGAACTTGAAAATGTTGTGATTATGCTTTGCGTTTTGAATTAAAAATGTCCTCATCACCTTCATCATCATACAACTCATCAATTCAGTTATTCAACCACAAATTAACTCTTCACTTGCATGAATATAATGATTTAGTTCCACATCATTTTTTTTCATATTATTTTATTGCTTTCACAATCAGACATATGCAGCAATATACGAACTGCCGTGAAACCCTCTCACTTCTGTATACATTAGTCAATCACAGACACCGTTATACGTAACAATTTTTACAACAAAGTTGGAACATGATTTGCAGCATCAGATTGTTCGCTTCAAACATTCGTAGTGTTTTCGGAGATTCATCTTGTTACTACCAAAGATGTTCGTAGATATGGAGCTTCGAACTATTATGGAAACAAACCCTAGATTTCTAGGTTGAAATAAAACCCTAATGATTGCCGGGTAGCGCCGCACCGTGGAGCTTTTGGGTCAACAAATAGCACTTCCTTCGTCCATTCTTTCATCGTCTTGTATTCGCCGTAGAGTCTTCACCGTAGAGCCTTCTGGTTGTGTCGTCGGTGTCCATGACCACTTCAGCGTGTATTATGTTGGCTCCCTTTGCGGTCAGATTTGTAGAGTCAGTTGGTTCGATTTTTTTGTTGCTGTGTGCTTCTGGAGTAGGTCTTAGTTGGTGGTGGGTTTGCTTTAGTCTTGGGCTTGTGGGTTTGTTTCGTGGAGAGAGGATGTGGGTGATTTTGATGATATGATATGCAAGTCTAACTCAGCGGAGGCCTAGCAATCTTGCTATGGGTCACAACAGACAGCTGACACATCCTCTTGGTATCATATGTTTGTATTACCATTTGTATGTATTAGGGATAATTTGTCTCACCTTTAAGGCAGAGCATCAGAGCGGTTGGACTTGAAACACCCAGCTATGGCTTTAGATGCTTTGAGGTGCAGACCAGAGAGATGTGAACCCCTCCGGGATCTGGTGACTCCTGAGCTTAGAGCCTCGAAAGGGTTGCGACATTTGTTTGATAATGTGTCCGCTTGTCTTAAGGGTTTGTGGTAGAATACTATGAATGTGTCTAGGGTTAACCATGAGGCCATGACGAGAACTTTTTCCCGAATACGAGGCGAAGTGCCTTTGAGATGTACCTTTTAATTCTGAGCCTACTTGAAGTGACCAGCTGAAGATTAAGGTTGATGGCACTGTGCACTGACTTTTATTCACCGAAACTGAATTAAATAGAGCTGGGAAGGTTTTTCTCACGCTTCCCCATGAAATGAATTGTCATGTGTGAGAAGCACTGTTCAGTTGTGTCTCAGAATATTGGTAAAATCAACATGATTAAGTGACTGACGAACACACAAACCACATGACCAGATAGTGTCATGCAACATAGTCCAAGTTATGGTTAACAAACTACCGGATATAAAGGCAATGTATTGGAACGCTCCAGTTTTTATAACCTTGCACTATGAAATGGTTTCAGAACTGTACATGACCCATTCCATTTACTAATTTGGAATTGTGGTTTGAGTATAGCAAATTCAGTGTCATCCAAACACCTACATCATACCTGAACTGACTCTGCGAAGACTGTATCGTGGCAATAAATGTCATATGGGACGAAGGGCGGATGGGTGGTAACCATGACAAATCAATGTAGCCACTCCTGATAGTTGGTCACGGAATGAAAACGCGATCTGGAAGAGCCCCAGCTTTTAGGTCGCGGTATCAACACGCTGTACACGCTTGCCGAGAAAGCTTGAGTGCCTTGTGCAAGTCACTTTTTCTGCATCTCCCAAACCCCTGCATCCGGACAAATAGATCATCGTTCACGCTTTGGTGCCAGTTGCGCGCTCATTCTCAGAGTTGCTCATAGTTTCTAATGGAATTCGGGAGATGGGGAGATGGCAAACACCTTTTTCCTGACGCTTAGGTTCTCTGTTTTCGTGTTCAAAGATGAAGCTGAGGATGATTAGTTGTGGGAGAAGTTTATTGTCAGGGGATTGGGAAAGGCAGGTTTTTGTGCCATGGGAAAGTTCTAGAGCCTACAGCAGAGACGCTTAATTTCGTCGCCGTGCATGTGAAGATTGTGGAGGGTCTGTAGGCATTCACTAGCACTCTCTGGATTGTTGTTGTCTGGTTGACGCTGTGGAATTGACGTTTGGGAGCGATTTGGGTTATTCGAATTTTTGAGAGAAGTATTGTGACTTATTTGGACGCAATGGCCAGTTCAGACTTGATAGAATCACCTTTGGGCACACCAATACCCTACGTACCTCCTTCAAGAGGAGGTTCAATTGTACGGAGAAGGTGGCCGTCCGTGAGGGCTTCTGCTGCGAGGAAGAGCGGGCTCTCGCTCTCAACCGGCACTAGATCCTCCCTGAATGGCGGACCGCCGTCGTCAAGGAAATCCAGGGCAAAGTCGGGGGACCTAAAGCTCAGGAGCGTTAGCCAGGTCCAAACATTCTTCAAGGAGCGGACCTTGAGCAAGGCTGATGCTTCCATTCGTGATCGCACGGCTAGTGAAGGACATCTCTTCCTCAAGGCCCTTGCTACCGATGCTCCCTTCCTTGAGGTAAGGGGTGAATCCTTCAATGCTTGGCTCTCAATTACTAAGTTTCCATCTGAATTGAGATGAATGTCCTCGCTCTTCATGCACATATATAAATAATATTGTCGTTATTCAGTGCAATTTGAAGCTCAAGCTGCCCTAAAGTGGTTTCGTCACTCTTGCATAATTTGTGTGCTCGGATTCAGACCAAACTAATTGGACAGCATAATGTTTCACTCAACTTTACTCTTTCCAGCTGGCTCTATTTATTGGTTCATTGTTTATTTAACCCTGGCTTTTAGCTGTGACGATAACTCACCTCAAGGTCACTTTGTCCAGAGCTAATGTATTTCAAGTGTGCAGACCTTCAAGAGGGAGCCACCTTTGTCAAAGGAATCGTCGTCGTCATCTGAGGAATACGAAGTAGCTTCTTTCTGGCATAAATTTTGAAGTTGAATGTCTTCTGTTCCAAGTACTTGCTGTCTTATGTAACAATTTACTTGTTCGATCCGTGTGGTTAGTCATGTGTCCTTGTCGTCAAGTTTCAAACTTTCTAAATAGAGTGTTAATGCTGGCGTGACTATGCATACTAGCATAACTTCTATCTTCTCCTGGTGGAGCAGGGTATACTGGATGAGGAATTGACAGGCCTTAACAAGAAGGCAAAAGACCTTGAAGCTGGCGGCATCAAACTGTCTCCACCTGAATCAGAGTTGGACGATGTCTGCATGTCCGTAATTTAATCGTCTCATTTCTTTCACTGAGATAGAATCTGAACATATTCCAGGATGAATCCTTACATTAGCTTTTGTCTCTGAAGTAATTCCTGATCGCGGTAGGTTTCTATTTCTATGTTTTCACGTTGGTTTTGTATTTTCGTTGTGGTTCGTTTTTATTCCTCGATGATTTGTGTGAGCATGTCTTATTGATTTGCTGGATCGGTAAACCCTTTGAGCAGTGAATGGGCGAAAATGCCATTCGTCATGCCATCCGATGAGAAAGTGTATCATATTCGAGCCCTCTCAAAGAAGAAGGAAAGGGAGGATGCGCAGAGGGATATGTTTCGTTCTGTACAAGACAAGACCACATTTGCATCTAGATCTGCAGCTTTTGTTGGCTCAGAGAGGCTAAAAAATGTCAGCAATTTTTAACTCATTTCATATGTATGTGTTTGTATATATATATATATATGTGTGTGTGTGTGTGTGTGTGTGTGTGTATGTATGTATGTGTGTGTGTGTGTATATAATCATATTCTTAGTTCACTGTGACTTCTATGCTGATTAATGATTGGTATGGAATGGATGCAGGAACTGAAAGCAATGGATCAAGAAATGGAGCAGCTTTTGCTATCGCTGAAGCAGCAGCCACCTATGCTTCAAACATGTTACTATCATCGTGATAAGGCGAGATGGATTTGGATTCAACATATAATTTCATATTCTATTTGTCGATGAAATGACATATGAAGTTATTCCACTTCCCTGACCGTCTCTCTTTCCTACGCTTAGGAAAACCTGCAAGAATTTGTTGCAAAGAAGAGAGAAATTTTCTTTGTTCAAATGAGCTTGGATACGAAACGATCGGAGATTCGCAAGCTTGAAGAACGTATTTTTCAGCGAGAAGAGGTTTCGACTTCGCTTTCAAGTTTGCTTTCAAAATTGTTACCACCTCTACTTGAGAGCTTTTGAGAAGCATCATCATACAATGATAGACTTAAAGGTTGCATAGTATTGTTTGGATATTTTTGTTATCTCTTGAAACCAGTTGGCTGCTACGCACGGGAATCTTCGATCAAAGCGTATTTCAGTTTCTGTCCTTGAACAGTAATGAATGCTGTCGTCAAAATTCTAATAGGCACTCAGAAAAAGTGAAGAGATGCTAGAGGAAGACAGTATCGAGTTCGATGCATTTCTCAAAAAGAACGATGAAAAGGTCTGAACCATTCTTTCTTCTCCGCTTATTAAAGTGATATCACTCTCTCGTATTTTGTCTCTTGTTTTGCACGTCAAATCTCCAAAAGACGCCTTTCTCTTCCATTTTTCTAGATATCTTGAAACCTACTCCTCTCGAACCGTAGGAAATACATTGCTATAGCTTATTATAGAATTCAATAGAACCAGGGAAATTTATGTATATTGTCTTCGCAAATTTAAAATTTGAATTCGCTTTTTTAGATGCAAGAAGCCCTCAAGAAAGCAGAAAAGAACACCAAATTGAAACAAGACAAGGTGACATTTCATCCCAGCTTAATATCCTAACAAATAATCGCCTTTAGTCCAACCTAATTTCTTATTCATATATATATATATATATATATAATCTTTATGAGTGCACTCATCGAGCCAACCACGTTCATACAACGTGCCGCAGGTGATGGAAATCAAGAAGTTGAACACTGAAATGGGGATTGTGAGGGCCGAAGTGAGCAAGGTAGGTCACACATTTCCTTATCAGATGCTGTTCTCAATCCGATCGCAATCATTGACAGTAATCTTACAGCGTCTTAGGGCTTCCTTCATACAGCACCACAGCTAAGTGACCTCTCATTCTATGACGAACTGATGTGGAAGCACCTTAGAGATAGAAGTTTTGAAATAGTTTCTAGATACAGGGGTACACAGCTGGGTTATTCAACTTGGAGGGTCCCACTAAGAAAGTCCGTGGCATGGAATACCTGGTGTGGGTTGGGATGAAGACTGCAGTATGAAGAGCAACTCGAAGACTGCAAGAAGTACAAGGAATTTCTGGTGAGGCTTACTCCCTTCGAGTGGTTTGAAGAGCAAGCTATTCTGAAGTCTGAACGAGAAGAGCAGCGCCGAAACCTTGCTAGTCAAGGTACTTGTTAGAGGCATAATCCCCATTACTCGAATTGCATCACTCATCGGACGGATCAATTTGTTTACAACATCTGATAACAGAACTACATTAATAACCAGACCCGTTTTGAGTTAGGTGTTACGACGCCCACTGAACCGGAAGAGGAGGAGGAAGTGACATATTTTCAGCATCCTCATCAGGTCCCACCATAGAATGAAATTATTTTAGAAAAAATTAAATATAAAAATGCTAATTCAATCTATATATATATATATATATATATATATATATCCTCTTTCTTTGTTTGAACATGTGTTACTTCTAAAACACGTAACCATGTATTGTTACTTAATTCATATAGCCATAAGCTTTTGGGGAGTTTTTAATATCATGGAAAAGAAACTGAATTTACAATGAATGTGCAATTGAAGCTGCTAGAGATCTACAACGACATAGAAGTTTCAAATCTTGCGCTTCTACAACAATGCCAAGAAATAGAGGGCATGCTTGAGTCTTTTAAAACCAAAATGCGAGATGCAAGGGCTACAAACGACACTGATATTAACAGCTTGCGATCCCAACTTGCTGTATATTATTGGAACACTAACCACACACGGTTCTAAGTATCTTCTATTTGTTCGGACTTCAATGCATAAGCATTTGCTTGAGTCTAGAAAGTAGTCAGCTTCCCTGATAATTTGCAAGATTAGGAATAACTCAAACTTAGTACCCTACTTGTGGTTGTGGCTTTATATGTTCTAGGCTTTGCAAGCTCAGGTGAGGCTAGAAGATGAAAAACAAGCAACTCTGAAGAGGAACGCGAGCCTAAACGTGGAGGGCACGGAGCATGAGATTACCTTTGAAATGCTGTGCACCAAAGTATTGTCCACGTATTTGAGGTGTGGAATGGATCCCGACCCGAGCCTTGGAACCCTGCAAATGCTCTCCATGATTGAGGTGTAGATTTGAGGCACAATTAACTCCTCCATTCTCTATCATCTTTGACTTATATTTACAGCTTTCATGAGTCACCGACCTAAAATAGAATTAAGCTGAATGACAACCATGTGTTTTCCGCATGGCGCTTCGTTGTTGATAACTCCTAGAGTTTGTGGTTGTGCAGCAAAGGATGGAAGATGGTCTGCAGATGTTGAAAGGCATCCCACAGGAGTTCATGAAGGCTACGGAAAAAGCTCGTGAGAAAGAACGACGAGAGAAGGCCCGAGAAGATAATATGACCGCACTGGCAGCAGCTTTGGAGGAGCGTCGGCGGAAAGCCCTTGCTCGTTCCAAGGTATGTTTCCTCCAACTTTCTCGCTAGTAATCAACCGATGAAGAATGAATGCATTCTTGCATGATATCTGCTAATGTCACTGCTTCATTTCTTGTTAGCAGGCCCCAATCCCGAAAAGGATAGGGAAGCCTCCCATGCCGCGGTCGTTCCTGCCACCGAAGAAGAAGAAAGAGGGCGTCGATAAGAGCGGAGAAAGCGATGACGCTGAGTTTGCCGAGTTCCTGGGTCGTGATTACTGATCCACGCCACTCTTTTGGGTGCATACAGAAACTCCGGCAATGCTGGTTAAACTCTTTTACAGAATCTAAGCAGCGCCCAATTTGAGAAATTTGAAAAAAAGTTTCGGAATGCACACCGATCATGGAATCCCTTGCTACAGGGCTTTTATCCAGGATGACATTACTCTCGACTACTCAAGTGTGTTGATCTTTGACCTCGTGCTGATTCTTGTGAAGCATGTGTACAGAATGGTAGCCAACCACAATAGTGAGCTTATACTAGATAGTTATTTCATTTCAAATCCTTGAAATGATGAAGGTTTTTTTTTTCGGGAAACGAGGAGCGATTTCCTTCCGGTTGGCTGGCGTTCTATTGAACCAGGCGCTGGAATCATCACGAATCGTGTGTTCTGCTTGTTGAACTCCTCGATGAACACAAATGTAGATATCATTCACGAGTTTGCAATGAAAACATCTTATCCTATCTTTAAGAGAAAGTCTAGGTTATGTAATCTGTTGTCGTGCTGTTTGAGTTGGTACGCTGCATCCTAATGCATGCCACTCTGGATTGTTGCGTCTTGAACCTCACGATTTGAAGTGATGCAAAATGCTTCTTCAAAATGCCCGCTGCCAATATGAAACGCTAACTTAATAAAACTGTTAACCTGAAAGTCATAATTTTAAGTTACATGTGCACAATACTTGTCTTTTCCTATTTAAAATCCTTGTTTCCGCTTCACAATGTTCAAAATATTAGAGGCCCTCTGACAAAGGGGATATATTAACCAAATATCCGGCTCAACCAAACAGATAGCCCAGTGACGACTGGCCGCCTGGAGATGCTTGCACTCTGGTGCTTGGGCGATCCTGTTTCATGGGCCACAAACATACTCATCAATGTGACATGATCTTCAGAGAAACAAGAGAATGTGCTTATTTTGGGACATGCAATATACTGCACAAAATTTTAGAGCACTGATTAACTACATGAGAAGAGTAATATTATATATGAACATTTCATGGTTGGCTGTAATTAGGAGTTCTGTGAAAGCGAACCGCCCTAAATAGGTGTTACCTGCAATCCCTCTATCACGATCTCTGTCAGAGCAGTGATATTTCCACATTTGCATCCAAAATGTTACGCTTCCAGCAATCGTAACGAGTACATTATAATCAAATTCAATAAGAGAGGCTACATCATCACCTAACAACAATAAGTTTGGAACTTTTCACTGACCGTGATGAAGTTGCCACAGTTTTGGCCGTCTACGCGCTGGTAGTTATTGTTTGTTCGTCCCATTCTGCCTTGTGGCGTGTCCCTCTCATCATGAAAAACTTTGCCAGCAGCCGGCTTCTCAATTTCTGGAGAAATTAAAGGACGGGACGAGCCGTGGAGTGAATTTCTTCGGCCACTAACACCTACACTTTGTCGCTCGTTAACAGGTTCTTCATGGATACTTTGCTGCAGGGGTCTGCTTTTTGGAAAGACGCGGGGTTTATCATCACCTCCGAACAAGTAGCCAAGAGAGCTATATCCTCCACCGCAACTCTGACCTCGTTGGAACATTCTCGCTCACTGTCTGACTTAACTACGGATCTCAGTCCTGAAAGAACCTCAAGAGCAACGTAGTATCGCTGTCTGACTTAAGGTCGGGCCTCAGTCCTGAAAGAACCTCAAGAGCAACGTAGTAACATGTTAATCCAACATTCCTTATCAGCAGCATCACACTGATCAGCAACGTTATATAACCAGCAAATTCAAAGGATGCCGGACTCGCAGAATGGCTTCACATAGCATTCTAATCACACTATGCAAGATCCTAGGTCCGATCAGCGAAGAAAAACACGGTTTAATATTCTTGAATGCAGAAGAATGAGATCAAAACTACGGATTTTCGGGGTGGAAGGATTCCATGAACGAATCCGATACACATTCCGCCGCAAAAGACAAGTCAAGGTATTCTGGACGAGAATTAAAGTTTCAAGTACAATAAAAACTCAGAACCTCTGAAGAGACAACTAAAAAAATCTCACTGTCGAATCAGAAACGAAATGACTCCACATCCAAAAAGACGAAAACTTCATTTCTACAAAGTAACGTTTCACCTCCTGCAAAGTATCCCTCATTCAATTCAACAAGTTTACTGGTTAGGTTAAGTTATGAATGCTTTGAGCCACATTCAGATACAGAACCACATCAAGCAAGCCAGATTCAACGATATCACTGCATCTGACCAATTACAACCATCAATTCTGATCACAATCTCCGAGGCCAATCCACAGTCACTACAATCCCAGTCGCTGCGTAACAGCGAGATGATATACTCTTCAACAATCATACCCCAGTGAGAAGCAAATGTCATCTAGAGGAGACAATTTTGCAAGCATCACATGACCTCGCGGATACAAGCAGTAACCACACAAGAGATACATGTCAAGCTTTACATGCAGCACATGAACGCCGAGATGTTAAGCGCGACAACATTAAAAATCCTTGTACATTCATTTCCTCACCCCTTCCGAATTAGTTACAGCGACGAATAAACTCCACTTCGTGGATGCCGCTTCTCGATTCTCCAACTGCAAGTTACGCGTTCTTAAAAACAAGTAGTTAGAGAAAATTAAGAAGACTTAAGATGAGGGAGGTAGAAACACGAGAAGCAATCGACATGGAAATGGGAATGGGGGGCGAGGAGGAGAGGAGACGATGGAGGAGCGCGCGCGAGGAACTGCTCAATTAAATGAGAATCGGGCCGCTGGGGGCAATTAATTAACACCTTTCTAATCTCTTCCTGCTAAGGCATGGTTAATTAAGCTCTCCTAATCCTCCGCCAGTTTAGCTAAATCATGCATCTTAATATCCCGTGACATCCCCGCGAATGGTTCTCGTGAAGGTGAGTTCATCCACGAGGTCGATTGAACATCGTGGATGGAAAACAATAAATGGATGATTTTATGCTCTGTTCACATTGGTCAGACCCTGACGGAGGAAGTTACTTGGATGCTGTGGTGATAATTGCAGTAAATTGTTTTTGATTCCTTGAAACTTTTATTTTTATTTTTATTTTTCATTTTTATAATAGTGATTTCAAGGACCGAGCAGTGTGAAAATTTCCGTAATTTTAATATTATTGTATTTTTATATAAATAAGTACATGATGCAAAAAAATTGTGATAATGTGAGCGATGAGAGAGTAGAGAGCTTACCCAACTTTGATGTGGCCTTGAGGCATCTTGGCAATACTCTATTTCCTTGATGGTGATGATTTAAAATCATGATAGAGTGAAATGAAATATAAATTGCTTTCTACATGCCTTATGGAGTAAAATTTGACAACACACTCCACAATTGTTTTGAGCATTTCAAAAACAGTTGTACATTTCACTCGATTTTTTGTTTAGGTATTATACCTAAAAATGCATGAATTAAATAGTGTCTTGTATATTTTACCATTGTTGAAAACTCAATGCAAATTATTTTCTCTTTACTTCTAAATTGAAATTATTGATGTATAATGCATTTTGTTTCTTTTTTAATCAAACCTAGACATTTAGAAGTTTTTATTATAGCATTGTATTCTTTATTTTCAAAAAAATAATGTTATTTTTTTTCCCAAAACCAAGAAATGATTAAAAATATTTGATTGCAATGGTATCATTTGTTGATATTATTCAAAACAATATTCTTATATATAGAGGAATTCAAACGCAAGCCAAATATACCTTAGGAAAGTGCAACAATGTACATATTGAGATGGCTAAAGCTTATGGCAAATAGAGGTAAGAGAGACATCTATATGTAATAAAGATGCAATCAAGAAAGATTCTTTGTAATGACTACAATTGATATTATTTTAAATTTCTTAAAAAAAAAAAAACTTTAAAAAATTACTATTGATTCTACTATAGTTGGTTGATATAACCTTATTATTACATAAATATGATATAATTTTGTAATTTTTTAAAGGGTTTCCACCTTTTAAAATTCTTAAAAAGTTTCTTGTTACTTATGTAAATATAGTGAAGGAATCTCTATCAATATTCTAAATTAGAAGAGAAGAATTCTTTTATCTTTGAAAAAACTTTAAAAAGATGGTTTGTATAACTCAAATCAACTTCTTACTTTAGTCCAAATATTATATATATACATTATAACATTGGAATTTGCTATTCAAATCTAAAGAAATATAAGACTTAGATATGGCTTTTATATTAAGTGCTCTTTACATTCCTACTTTGATTATTTTTAAATATCTAGCTAAAGAATTCAAGCTAGTTGCTACTAGGATTTTAATCAAATTTGATAATATATTTAGAATATATTTAGAAAAAATTAATTATTAGAATTTTATTTTTGCAAGAGCCTTGTTATTTTGAATATTACTTAATTCTGAATCTTGTCTAAAACTTTCTATGGATAGTATACAAAGGCTAACTTAGTCCAAAGTAGCTTAATTAATTTGTTATATATCTAAAGAAAATAATAAAAAAAAAATAGGCTTAATTGATCTAAAAGATACAACCGAAATTCTTTTGGCAAAATGGATAAAATGTACATTACAACCAAGTCAATTAAACATCCAAAAATTCTTATATTTTAGGCTAATGTGTATAGAGCATATATCTCTTAAAAAATAATAGCTTATTTTTTAATACATATTATGCATAAAGCATAAACAAAGTATAAGTTTAAAAATTGAAACAAGATAGGAAAAATATGGATGCCTATGATATTATTTATTTAATTATCTAAATCAAATGCTTATAATTTAGTTTAAAATATAATTTTTTAGTAGAATCATGCATTTCTTCTTACAACATATTATGTCATTTCAAGTAATAATGTGTCTCGGACATACATATTTACCTAGATAAGAAATGCTAAGTAGAAGATAAATGTAGGAAGATTTGATATTATTTTATTCCAAAGCTTCTTAGAAGCTTCTTTGATGTATATTTGACTTTATACATGTTTATAGTTGATTAGTAGATTAGAAACTTGGCTAAGAAGTTAGCCATATACTACATGTGAGGATAGCTTGAAGTATTAGTTAATAATGTGGCATACATATAAGAAACTTACCTTGCAAGTTAAGATATGTCTCTTGCAAATTGAACATGTGTTGGAGGTCTTATAAAACATTGCCACATAGCTCTTAGTTAGATAGTATATACATAGGCAAGAGTGAAGCCTTCTTTACTCTTATCAACGCCTTTTTAGTATTTAGTCTTGTTTCAAGACTTTCTAGTCTTCTTGTTTTTTACAATAGCCATTCTAGTTTAATATTATATCATCTTTGAGTAATTCTCCAATCTTTTCAAGTAACATGAGAGTCTATTGATCTTTTAATTCTTCGAGATTTATTTTTTTAATAATTTGATAAAAATACTAATTTATTCTTCTTATTTTTTTTTTAGAATGAAGTAGATTATTTTACTTCTATTGTTGTATGATAAATTATCTATCTTTAAATTAATATTTAGTTTTAGAATATTAATTTTTTTTCCTTGAAAAGAAAGAATTATTCTTTTTTATGGAAATTTTTATTTGGTACCAGAAGTTGCACATTATCCTCCATTAATTTGACTTATGGATTTTTTGAGTTGTCTATAGAAGGAAAAATTATGGATGTTATTCTTGGTAAAAGTGAAAATAGATTTATAACTATTATAGATCTTTACAAGATTTTCAACACTCTTAGGATACAAATCTCATGTATTTCTAATATCATAGAGGTATTATTTCTATGCCAATGAAAGAAGTCAACAATGAAATTCAAAGATTATGCCAAGAAGTTGTGCAATTAAGAGAAGCAAGAAAATCAAATTTACAATCAAATCTAAAAAGCCTTTCTATTATAAGTATGAGAGATACAAGAATAAGTATGCCAAAGAAATTTCATAAAATAAGATCAAAATTTCAAGGATTTCTATAATAAATGAAGTTCTATCAAAGGTTGCATCTTTTTTAATATTTTAATATATTTACTCAAGTTGGATTTATAGATGCATTTCTATTTAGGAGTGCTCTTTCTTCGTTTAAACATTTGATGGAAAAATATTCACAACTACTCTATAATTTGAATTTATTTCTAGAAGTATTTACGGCCACATTTAGAGAAAGTAATTAAGAAAAGAAAGTTGAGACAAAATTCATGTCTTCAAGTTAAGAATCATATTAAGCAACCATATATGCTACTAAATTCCAAAACCTTATTTGCAACATGGATAGGAATGACAAAGCTTTTATCAATGAATTTTGATTTAGATTGAAAGATAATACCAAGGATATTTTATTGACATTCTTGAAAAGAAACTCATTGAAGCAGTTTATTATTCAAGCCATTACATGTAACAATCAATTCTTTAAAAGATGCTAAGAATAAAGATTTGATTTCAGAGATACAAGTCAAGCAATAGAAACACCTCTTAAGTTGTTGAAAGCTTATTCATCTAAGCTAGAGCCTATGTAAATTGATATAGTATATTTGAAATTTCTTATTGAATAAAAAATAATTGATGTTGTCAAAAAGATTTATATATATATTATAGAAAATCCAAGCACATTTCTCAACATTATCTATAAAAGCAATGTAACCACAAAATGAGGAGTATAGTTGCCAAAGAAGATGATATATTAGAAAATGATTTTCTCCAGCTACAATAAGAACTATGTGACTAAAATCTTGTACAACATCTAATAAAAGTTCTATTCTTTCCTTAGATCTCTCACTTTATTTTATAATAGAAGTTTTATGATCAAAAAATTAAAAAGTCTTTGTTTTGTTAAATTCAAGAGCCTCAATTTGTTTTTTAAATAATGTCTTTCTTAAAAAATAAAAAATATCTTTAGTCAAGAAAAATAAATTTGTACATGTAAAAATCATAGATAATCTTTTGTTGTCCTCTAAAGACATTATCCATCAAACAATTCCTTTAGATGTAGTAACTAAAGTTTATAATAGTTTAGTAATAATTAATTTTATTATATTTTCTTCTAATCTAATTATTTTAGAATTGTTGTGACTAGAGAAGTATAACCTTCAAATATACTAAATTTTTTATAATCTTATTTTTTTTTAATTTAATCTAAGATTCTATTAGTTAAACAAAAGTTTATAGGTTCAATACAACCAAATTCTTATTATTAGGTGCAAGAGCTTTCATGCATGCTACAAAAAAATGGTTAATTTTTAGTATATATGCTACACATGTTTTTCATAGAATAAAGACTTCAAATACCAATCCAAGTCAATATCAAGAATATTAAGATATTTTTGAAAAAAAGAATGTCAATATTCTTCTAAGCCATCATCTTTATGATTGTTCCATTGATCTTCAAGAAAGAGCTCAACTACTATTTGGACCAATCTATAGCTTATCACAAAATAAGTTAGATGCACTTAAAGAATATAGTGATGAGAGCTTGGCTAAGAACTTCATATGCCATTCAAAATCTCCAATAAGAGCTTCAATTTAATTTCTAAAGAAAAAAGATGGATCTCTATGGATGTATATGGACTATCAAGGACTCAACATTAACTATTGGTTCAACCTTTCTTAAGCAAGTTCTATTGAATATGTCCTCTAATTTTCTTATTCATGATATTTAGAATAATTCTTTTAAGACTTATAATACTTCTAAGTTTAAGTTTAAGAATAATCTACTTTATTTCAAAGAATAATTATATATTTTAAAAGATAAAGCACAATTATGTATTGATTAAGCTTGCATGACTTTTAAACAATTAGGTATTTTGGATACAATAAGACTTTGAAACTAAAGACTTTTTGTAGCTTCAAATGACAAGGGCAGTTAAAGACTTTGTACAATCATGTAACATTTGTTCAAGATCAAAAACTCTTCATTATTGACCTTATAGAGTTATTTAGCCATTATCTATTCAAGAACTACTATGGTCTTTTATTTCTATGGATTTTATCATAGATCTTCTAGTCTCAAATTCTTATGATTTTATATTTGTAATAGTAGTTAGTTTATTAGGACGACACATTTTGTATCATCTACAAAATCTATCATAAATAAATAAAAATTATTAAGTTTTTCATTGACAATATTTATTACTATCATAGATTATTTAAAGATATTATATCAAATAAGAAGACTCAATTTGTATTAAGATTTTAAAAAATTCTTTTCAAGATTCTAAAAGTGGATATAAAGCTATCTTTGGCTTTTTATCTTCAAAATAATAGATAAATAGAACACATAAATCAAGTTTTAGAATAATATTTGAAGTGTATAATTAAATACTAATAAGATGATTAGACAATTCTTTAAACATTGGCAGAGTTTAATTATAATAATATAGTTTTTTTTTTACATAATAAATATCATTTTTTTAATTATTACTATCATCCACAACTTGATACTTTTAATTTTTCAAAAGTTCATAATTCTATAATAAAATATTTTGAAAATTATTTATTTGAATTAAATACAACAATGAAGGTTTAATTAAAAGAAGCTCAAAAAAACAAAAGACCAACATAGATGCCTATTGCAAGGAGTAACCTCAATTTCACATTGACAAAAAGATATAATTACTTTGTCACAATATTAAGACTAATTGTACTTAAAATAAGTTGGATTATCATAAACTTAGATCATTTTTTATATGTAAACAAATCAATCTTGTTGCTTATTAATTACATCTACTAAAATCTATCAAGATTTATCATGTATTCTACATGCCTCTTTTTGAGCCATATAAGATAGTGAATATCTTGAGAAGAAGACAAATACCACCTCTTTATGTAGAAGTGGACAATAATTAAAAATATAAAGTTAAAAAGGACTTAGATTCAAGGAGATGCCAAAATAGGTTGGAATATCTTATTCATTGGTATAGATGTGATATTAATAAATGCACATGGAAGTTTTCCAAGAATCTTACAAATGTTGTAAAGAAAGTTGATATTTTTTATCAACAACATCCATCAAAATCAAGATGAAGAATATCAAATCTTTGTTATAAAAGAAATAAGATGTATAGAAAATTGTATTCTATTTTCTATCCTTATTTGTAATTTTTGTGTATTTGTAGTACTAAGGAAATAAAAAATCAACAACTAGCAGATTCAACTTTAAAAGTATTATTTAGTAACTTATTGGACAAGACATTACAATTGCCACAACCTTCAAAAAGATGTAATAAAGATGAAGATCTTCAAAAAACACATGTTCTTTCTTAATTAGATGGTGAAGTATAATGTATTTTATATCACAATCTTAGAAGTGACTCTTGATATTTGGTGGTTTTATTAGAAATAAGAACAACTCCTAACATAGCTCCAAATATTTTATTTGAAGGGAGTTACAAAGACATCAATAATGATCAAGTAATAGAGTAGTCTTCTTGCCTTGATATAGGATACTATTAATGGATGAAAAGACCTATCAACTACTTTTAAAAGGAACAAAATTTAAATACATGGCAAACACAATTCACTACATTGTGGACTTCTTCAACATATGATAATTACTCTTTGTAGAACTCATCTTTAGAAGAGGAGATAATATCAGAGACATACATATTTATCTAGATAAGAAGTGCTAAATAAAAAGTAAATGTAAGAAGATTTGATATTATCTTATAGCAAAATATCTTAGAAGTTTCATAGAGGCATATTTGAATTTACACATGTTTATAATTGATTGGTAGATTAGAAACTTGGACAATAAATTAGCTATAAGTTGCACATGTAAATAGCTTGGTATACAAGCTAATGATATAGTGCATATATAAGAAACTTACTTTGCAAGGTAAAATATGTGTTGGAGGTCCTATAGAATGTTGCTACATAGCTCTTAGTTAGATAGTATATATAGAGATGAAAGTCAAGCCTTCTCTACTCTTGTCAATGCATTTTTAGTCTTTAGACTTGTTTCAAGACTTTCAAGTCTTCTTGTCTTTGATAATAATTATTCTAGTTTAATATTATACCATCTTTAAATGATTTTCTAATCTTTTCAAGTGACAAAAGAGTGTATCGAACTTTTAATTCTCTAAGATTCATATCCTTGCAATGTTGTTTCACTCTATGTGAATAGCTTCAAAAGAATAAAATATATTTATATATAATTAAATCTATTATCTTTTATTATTGAAAGAAGCTGATTATAAATTCAAACCATACTCAAATAATACATATTTTTGGATTTGTTTTAGTTTTCTTCCAAGACTTTGATTTTAACCAATACAACATAAATTTTATCCTCCAAAATTTATGATTGAATTGATTTATACTCATTAAAGTGACAATCTTCCTACAATTATCTTTTAACTTTCTATTCAATATCAAAGGATCTTAAAAAAATTCACAATTTGTACTCAAAGAACGAATCAAAATTGAAATACATTATGTTGGCTTATAATTAAGAAGATTATGCTGTGATGAAGATTTATCAATCAACTAAGAATATTCTTATTTGAATCAACTCAAGTATCAAGCAAAAGAATTTTTATAAAAATCAAAGTTGCTTTAAATTTGTACTTAACTATTATAGGGACAAAAATATCAAATTGTTATAAAACCTTGTAATTGAATTCGTTTTTTACCTTAGTAGCTATCATTAGTTTGTTAGGACTAAATAATTAATCTATATAAAAAAAATGAATAGATTTGTGATACACAATAATTCAATCCCTTTCAATTTGGAATATTAAAGAATAAAATTCTTTATTAGAATATGATTTCTCTTTTCACTAGTAAGATATATAATTTAGGCCTTAAGCATGTAAAAGAATTGTATTTATTTGGCCTATTTGGCATAAAGATATAATTATCAAAAAATGAAAGAAACATAGTGATTTGAAAAAAAAAAAATCTATTTTTTATATAATACATATGTATAAATATATATATATATATATATATATAAGAGAATGTTAAATAGACCTATTTTTTTTACTAAATCGATTCATCCATCCTAACCATCATGAAAAAATTAATGATTTTTAGATTCATTTTCCCATTATTGGATTTGCAATCAATAAAAACCAACTACATTCACCATAATTATCATATTTTCCATTAAAGGTGGATCTATTTAATATAAGCATAGGCCTATTTAACATTCTCATATGTATATCTTACATAAATTCTTGAAATGCATTGAAACAAAATGTAGCTAAGATTGGACCACCTCACTTATGTATGAATTATCCTCAATCCAAAGAAATAAAGCCCTTCAATCTACATGATTTTAAATATGCTCCACCAATTGATTTTAATGACTTGGTCTATATATCTGGACAGTATGGATTTAATATATATATATATATATATATATATATATATGAAATATAATCTAATCATCATATTAAAAGAATAATTAGACGACTCATTGAACATGAACATTGTATGAAGAGTCACATACAACAAGATCAAAACCAATCCCAAACGTAAATCAATAATTCTCGGTAGGCGGTATTGGACATGAATGTCAAGATCGATCTCAACGTAACTATCGAATAGGACTTGAATATACCATGAGATGGTCAACTCACTAGCAACTTCATATACTACAGATGTAAGTTGTTTTGTTTTCCCATTCGCTCTTTTCTCCCGATGATCGGATGTGAGTCATTAAATCTGTCCATGGTATAATCTTAGATTGAATTAACCCCGTTTTCTGGCAATTAAAAAAAAATGAATGAGCGAACAGTAAACTTACAGATGAAACGGATGCGAAGATTCACTATCCAATAAGGAAAGCTGGTAGGGTTGCTAAGATTTTTTTCAGAGAAAATTTCTATTTTATTATAAGGAAGGGAAATTATCACCTTCACATGGAATGGAATGGCACCTTCAGACTTGAAAATTTTGCATTTGTACAGACCATATTGACGTGGAAAACCAAGCCACAGCCAGATCAAAAAGAATTATCAAGCCACCAGTTTAAGAATGATTGTTAGGGTTTCCATTGTTCCTTTACCTTTTTCAGCTGCAAGCTGTATAGTCGGACTGAAACAACCAGTAAAAGGGGAACAAAACAACAGAAAACCAGGATGTGACCACACATCTCTGAACTTGTATTGGTGTGGTCATATTCACCATTCACCCACAACACAAAATTTCTGCATGTCTGACTTGCAAAGTCTAATGGTACTGGCCAAGAAACGCATGCAACAAACACAAATCATTTCCACTTTCTTGACAGAGTGAACTCTGAAAATAGGGGATACAGATCTCACACGAGGTTCACGGAAGGTCTGACCCTACGGACCACAAGAGAAAACCTACTAAAATAGTCTTAGGAATCATATTCTAGATGGCCGTGGCAGGTGAAATATAAAAAATGAAATTCAAGTCATGGAGTGCATACTTTCACTGCTTACTATGACACCGTTGCCTGCAAAATGACGATACAATAAACAGTCAGGAACATTTATTCCATTTAGAATTCTTTAGAGAAACAGAAAACCCTCACCAAAAATAAGCTCCAGGTGGCTTTATAAACATTGCATTCGTAAATGGTGGTATTCTGAGCTCCAATTAAGGTAGGCGTAGAGAGGCAGCTGTAAGATAATGAAAATGTCTCCGTGTATTCAAGATCTCTAAAGGTTAGGATTAAGAAGTACAACTACGCTTTCAGAAAAAAGACAAAAAAAGGTCCCGACGGAAGATCTCGGACACCATTTTAACATAACCATCATGCCACAACGACAAATGAGGAACATGAAGACTTACAGCTGACCGTACCTTAAAACGCATTAAGTCGAACTTCTGTCCAGGTCTGACGATCACTTTCAAAAAGGATCTTTCCTCTTCCCACGTTTTGAAGTAGCCACTTCGAGACGCAGCGACTTGGACAGCAGTAATCTTCGATGATACACTCTCTCAAACTGGCAGTCTCCATCACTGAAACTATTCAATATAGAACCCAAAAGGTCCAAAAAAAATTCAAAACAAAACTGAAAGAACGCTCATAGATCAGCTAATGCGATATAGATTAGAAAACTATGCCCAACATACCTGCAAGAGAGTGGGTCGCCGAAACCCTACGCTGAACTGTTTCAAAAGTCTAATTCGTGACTTCAGAAGCGAAGTGTTGCACACAAGGGGTCCTCGAATTGAGCTACAGAGTACTACGCAAGGAAAACGATACCACAAAGAAATTAGTACATGAAAATCCAGTGCAATTACAAAATGAAGAACCTAAAATGCGATCTTAACAATATACTAAAAAGAATAATAATAATAATAATAATAATAATAATAATAATAATAGAAGCAAGGTGCTCCTTCGAAGACCAGAAAAAATCATAAAAAGGTTACCAAACTGCTTGCTTGAGATTGCTTGCTGCAACCGGCAATAGGTTGAGATGCCTTCCTGGGAGTCTTTCGAGACCTGTTCCAGTCAAATCTCTAATAACAAGCGCCGTCGTATCTCCAACTGCCTCCATCTTACATGTATCAGCTCTCCTATACATACTAACACCTAGCACTAAGGGTAATCTAAGTAGGAGGACATGCTTGTTGGTGCTTTCCAGGCACCACAACCTGCCACACTTGCCAGCTACACTATATTAACATTCCTTGGCCTTCAGCATCTTGTGGTTGGCAAAGGTGAAAATTCCTGAATGAATTGTGTTACCTCTGTGCCAGCATATATGTCCAAAACTACCCAGTGCAGAACTGCAGCTACTACCCCTAGTGCTTGCCTGCGCCTTCCCTGCCAACCTTAAAGATATTACTGTAATCTGCAGATGTGCCAACCCTTAGTCCAAAGATCATGACCACAGGATGGGGCTGCACATGAGGGTGGCAGGGGCAGGCTGCGCCCGGCGCTCAACGGCGCCGGGCCTGGTTGACACCTGTGTCAGGCTGCTGCTGCGAATGTGTTTGCTGTTTCCGGGAAAAAATATATATATTTATCAGAACAAATAATATTCATTTCAAATTTCATTGAACAGGAAAATCGGGAAATATAACCAGAATGTTCTTGCTGCGACATTTTCGAACGCAAGTTTTCTAACTGAATCCCAAATATCAAACTAATTAGGTAACAGATTATAGGTAACAGATTAGACACCAAGTGCTGAGTACCTGAGATTGCTGAAACTGATCTGGATGCTGCATGTAGCTCAAAGCGGGCCCAGGATAGCCAAACTGGGGAGCACGCATGTACATGGTCATTGGTCCCATTTGGGCGGGATTGTAAGGTCCCATCATTGAATCAGAAGCGCGGTAACCTATAGCATTAACAGTGGGTACCCAGGGTGCTCGAATGTGTTGCGGGCCAAGAGATTGAGGCGGTGGGGGCTCCATGTGCATCTGTCCTCTAGGAGGAACACCTAACTGAGGAAACTCGGTGTTATAATTCACCACTGGGGCATACAATGCTTGACCCCCATAAGGTCCCAAACTAACACCAAATCCAGGATCAAAACGCTGCGAATATCTAGCAGTGTTCCGGTCATAATCAGGATCCCTCCGGTCTTTCTCTCGATCACGAAATATGGCTACTCGACTACCACCGTTTCCATTACTGCCCAGACTGTTGGAACTCACCAACTTCCCCCTACCAGAAGGGTCCTTTTCTTTTTGTTCTTTAACAGAACTATCGGTTGGAGATACAGATGTTCTTCTAGGAGGAGAAACAGAAGCGCTCTTCGGTGGGATAGACCTTTCTTTCTGAAAACTCTCCTCCTTCACAGATTCACGGTGTCGAGGAGAGCCAGTACTGAGACTTGCCAAAGAGAAACCATTCTCCGCCTCAGGCTCGTCCTCTTCCCCTTTTCCTGCCAACTCGTTACAGAAAATACGTGCACGTGCCTGCGGAATTTTATAGGAAAGGCCATGATCAGACAAAGAACTCTCGTCCACATCATCGCTCAAACTCAACACAAGCAGACACCTATATTGAAACTCAGCACATCACTTAAATGACTTAGCTCTGCAACAAGAAACCGCGATATGAATATGCGTTGTAGAAGCCGTTCAAAACAAAACAAACAGGACTTTCCACCTAAGGCGTGTACCTTATTGTACTCTTCCTTTCTTTCTTCGACGCTCTTGGACGGATTTAACCTGCCGCCATTTCCACCTATTCCGAGACCATTACTGCGGCTTCCCTTCGCCGGTCTCTGCTTGATGGCGACCTTTGTAGGTAGCACAGGTAACATCGCGGCCTTCTCCTCTTGATCACCAGCTTGAGGTACAACAGGTATGTCCACAAGTCGGAGACTCGGAAAACGAGTTTCACTCGTCTTCCGAGCGACAATGCGCATCCCCTCTGCGGAACCTCCATCAACAACCATGGACTGGAGATAATAGTGTTGAGCCACGCGATGTGCAGCCAGTCGAAGATACGACGATGGCATAGGCTGAAACTCGAGTACCTGCAAGCTGGGATTACGAATGAAGCGCTCAACCTCTTGCTCCAGCCTCAAAACTGTGCAACCAAGTGTGAGATGTTAGGACTAAACTTATAATACCCAACCATCGCAACAAAGGAGGGGTTCAACCTCCACTGCGCACGGAAATATTGGAGGAATGATCTCAAAGAGCATGACGTGTGACTGGTGCACGCCTTTGCTAGCGCATAGATGTATTTTATTCAAGAAAAAATCCTGCCAATAAACGATCGCGAACGAAACCAGGTGCACTCCACAAGCAATAACCCACGGCGGAATAGAGTCCAACGTCTGGCGAAGACATGATTTCCATAACAAAGCCATGCGTACGAAATCCAATGTAAGCCTCAAACACATGAGTTACGTTAAATTTACACCATGGATGTTCAGGACATTATTGCAGCATCACTAACATACGGTAGAGAGTCGACCAAGGGAGCGTGCTCGTGTCACCTAGTCTAACACCAACGAGGGGCATGAATCAACATAGAAGGATAAGTGGAAACTTTACTTGTAAGACGATCCCGAGGATTCTGCAGTGCTTCCTTAAGGAAACCGTCCACTTGATCGGGGCCTCTGGCAGCGTCCGCTGCATCAGTGCGGAAAGGCAACAATCCGGTGGTCACACCATTGCCATCATTGGTAATACAAGGTTCCACGGAAACTTGAGAGGACGCAATTTCAGAAGACGCCAGCAACTTCTTCATGTTCTCCTCCAAGTCCACCATCTCCCACGACTCCGGGGCGCTGCTCTCCTCCTCTGGCACCCCCTTCTTCACATCCTCCAAATCCGCCATCACTTCTGGCGCGCTCAGACCCATACACAGGAGCCTGACAACCTCAGCTCCCTCCCAATGTATACCAACTACTTCACCAGTAAATACATAATACCTCGCCCTTCCTCAACTCAAAGCTCCCGCGGCATCATCCAACATCGCGCTCCCTCGCACTCCCATGCCACACACACTACAAAACCATTCCCTGTCCATTCTCCCCACACATACCTCTGCCCACCGCTCCAAACCCTAACATCGCAAACCCTAATCGCCAAAACCCAGCACCAAAACGCTTGCCAGAAGCAAGAGTTGGCCTACAACCCCATCCTTGCAAACTCAGTGCACGGCAGAAGAAGGCCAATCGAGACCGCAATTCTCCCAGGCAAAGTGGCGGCTACTCACGCATCGAACTCTCACTCTGGGCTACTCTATCCCCCACCCCCTTCCTCGAGAGAGCCACAAAGGAGCCTCTCGACCCCCGACCCCGCCCCCGAGCTCGGGTGCCCCGGTTCTCTGTTGCTACACCCGAGCTCGGGTGCCGCCCTCCCGCCCACATCCACACGGCACCCGGGCCAGCCCAATGCTCATCTTCTTGGCCATCAGATGGCGGCTGTGGCGGGGCCCCTGCCAGCGTTCCCTGAGTTCGCCGAGTTCTACGGTGGTGTTAGGTTTCCGGGTGGGAACGAGTGCGTAAGCTGTGGGAACGTGACGATGTTCACAATGCAGGCTGAGGGTGTCGCTTTCAAGTGTCGTTTTGGAATAAGCCACCCCATCCGTTCTCCCACGAGGGTCTTCCTGTGTATGATTCTTGATAACAATTATTCTCGTCTCCAGAGGGATACGATCTGTAGGCGGCGATACAGACTCTGAACATACTAAACTGGCCCCATACCTAACGTGCTGGCGCTTCTGCAAGCTATGGTAATCTGTTGGTCGCATGATATCAACAGAGGGGTCGAACCAAAGACTTCAATGTGATCAGTTTTGAAGCCGATCCTAATTGCTTTGAAGGATCAAGAAATTTTGTTCGTGCAAATGTGTGAAGTTCCAATTTTATCACCCAAGTTGTAATGAATGGCCTCAGTTGACGTTGGATCATCATTCTTGGACAAACCCAAATCAGATGTTATGTGTTTTTTTTCTTTACTTTTTCTTAATGAATCCAAGTTTGTAATTGATAGTAACCAGTTTAATACAAACTGTATCAGGTCGGTATGTTAAAGTTTGTATACGTATTCTTTATTATGTTATCTAATATAATACATGTTTGTGAACAACGTTAATTCTATGTCTACTTTTGGAGAAACTATTCTTTTTCATTTGTACATTGTAGATGGATTGATTTTAACATTGTGCCAATAAAAGGCGTTTTGGTAATACTTTATATAGTCATACATAAATCTAACATTATCATATAAACATTAGAACTCTACACATATTATCATATGTTCAAATAAAAATAAAAATAAGAAACAAAAAACAAAACAAAACAATTATGTACAAAATGATCATATGTTCACATTAAATATTAGCAAAGACTGTTCTATAAGTTATAAAATAACTACTTCTATAATATACAAATTAAGACATTTTATGTATGTATGTATGTATATATGTATGAATTATTAACAAGTAAGAAGATTTTTTACATTAAAAACCTAATACAAAAGGTGTGTAACACATTTGATTTGCTTGAATTGTTATACTTGATTTTGTGAAATATCTGTATTTCTGGATTAGTGTTAGTGATACTAAGATTTTGATATGGTTTATAATAATAAACAAAATTTGGATAAATAAATAAAAATATACAAACACCTTAAATATAAATAAATATTTTTTGAAAATTTTATTGAACAAATTTTTTTTATGAACATGGTTTGGTACGTAAATGTAATTTAATACTCGTATATATATATATATATATATATATATATCAGAAAATTTATGCTTGATTATTCTCAACAAAAAATCTAATTAATTAATGAAAGCTATAATTTACTTTTTCAAAGTTTCAATCATCACCCATTTTTAAATTAGTTCTGGAAATTTTTGCAACATTTTAATACAAAAGGTGATCTATTGATATTGTCAACAAGTATTATATTCAACCACTAGTTATTTTTTCCTAAATAAAGTTAATTGTGAGTTTATAAGTCTAATATTCAAAACAGCATTGCAAACATCATTTTCACATAATAAACATGGTTACGTCTGCATATATATATACATATATATATATATATAGAGAGAGAGAGAGAGAGAGAGAGAGAGAGATGCACACATATTACCTTTATAATTTTTACTAATTTTATTTATTGTTAAAGTATCTTCCAATAATTTTAATGATTGTAGCAGTACGACTAAAACAATAAGACTAAGAGTAATATATAATTTATAAAATATTTTGAATGAAGTAAAATGTGTTGATTATTTATAAAAATAAACTATGAGATTTTACTCTATGTATACAGAACTTTAAAATGCACTGCATAAAAAAAATCATAAGATTAATGTTGTTGCATTTTGCATTTATGTTTTTTATACTAACATAATTACATATTATAATATTTTAAACTAATACATGGAGTTTTCTTAATTATTCTTTTAATGTAATGTATATGCAGTAATAACAAAATATGTACGTGTGAATTCTGGCTGCATTGTTTGTACTGTGATTTATTATTATGATACATATCTTTACACATAAGTAATTTTTTTAACATTTTTACTTCCAAAGCAATACCAGGGCTTCTAATGATAATGTATACCAAAGTAATGATAATTGTAAAAGAAGTATTTTGATAAATACATTTCTTACTTGTTTATTAAATATTGATTTAATTGCAAAAATGTATGTATGCATGTATTACTTATGTCAACTACTTATACTATAAAAAGATTCAAAAGTTTGTAGATGAAACATTTAAAAGTTATCAAAGAAGTAGTAAATTTTCTATTATGATGTCATTGCAACAAACAAGTTGGAGATATTACTAATTCTAATTAATATACACACACAATACACACAACATACTAATATATATATATATATATATATATTATTATCACATTTTCAAAATATAGTAGTTTTTAAATTTTATAATGTGTTTTTATTTAAATTTGAAGATATATATAAATATTCACTTTTACACACTTAACAATGATCATCAACTTGCACTTGATATCAATGCATTGTAAATATATAAATAATAATTCATGAAAAGTACATTCAATTAACTTTTCAAAATATGGAAATACTAATACTAACTTATCGTAAAACTGAAATTCTTAACTACAATTTCATTAAAAAAAGAAAGCTAGATAAAATTTTAATTGAAATGACTTAATTTGAATTCTGTTACTGAAGATTATCTATTTACTATCTACTTGTGTTAAATTGAATTTAATCAAGGTAAAGTTTGATCCAATTCAAATGTTTAGGAAATATATCTGCACTGCAAGTATGCTGAATTAATACAATTTTGGTGTATATCAAATATTCAATATTGGTTTAAAAATGTCTTTGTTACTTTATTAAATGTAGTATTATTTCCCATAACGTTTCAACTACACATTGATTTCACACACACACACATATATATATATATATATATATATGTGTGTGTGTGTAAAAGTGTGGATATGTGTATCCCCATTCTTACCAATTAATATATTTGTCTACTAATTATAAAACAATTGTCAAGAAAATCACCCAAGATATGCAAGTATGTATGTGTATATATATATATATATATATATGTGTGTGTGTGTGTGTAAAGATGTGGATATGTATATCCTCACTCTTACCAATTAACATATTTGTCTACTAATTATAAAACAATTGTCAAGAAAATCACCCAAGATATGCAAGTATGTATGTGTATATATATATATATATATATATATATGTGTGTGTGTGTGTGTAAAGATGTGGATATGTATATCCTCACTCTTACCAATTAACATATTTGTCTACTAATTATAAAACAATTGTCAAGAAAATCACCCAAGATATGCAAGTATGTATGTGTATATATATATATATATATATATATATGTGTGTGTGTGTGTGTAAAGATGTGGATATGTATATCCTCACTCTTACCAATTAACATATTTGTCTACTAATTATAAAACAATTGTCAAGAAAATCACCCAAGATATGCAAGTATGTATGTATATATATATATATATATATATATATGTGTGTGTGTGTGTGTGTGTAAAGATGTGGATATGTATATCCTCACTCTTACCAATTAACATATTTGTCTACTAATTATAAAACAATTGTCAAGAAAATCACCCAAGATATGCAAGTATGTATATATATATATATATATATATATATCTATATATGTGTGTGTGTGTGTGTGTAAAGATGTGGATATGTATATCCTCACTCTTACCAATTAACATATTTGTCTTCTAATTATTAAACAATTGTCAGGAAAATCACTGAAGATATGCATGTATGTATGTATATATATATATATATATATATGTGTGTGTGTGTGTGTAAAGATGTGGATATGTGTATCCTTGCTCTTACTAATTAACATATTTGTCTTCTTATTATAAAACAATTGTCAGGAAAATCACCCTAGATATGCATGTATGTATATGTATATATATATGTATATGTATATATATATGTATATGTATATATATATATATATATATATATATATATATATTTATACACATGTGTGTGTATAAAAGTGTGGATATGTGTATCCTCACTCTTACCAATTAACATATTTTTCTACTAATTATAAAACAATTGTCAGGAAAATCACCCAAGATATGCATGTATATATATATATATATATATGTGTGTGTGTGTGTGTAAAAGTGTGGATATGTGTATCCTCACTCTTACCAATTAATATATTTGTCTACTAATTATAAAACAATTGTTAGGAAAATCACCCAAGATATGCATGTATGTATGTATGTATATATATATATATATATACATCTATATGTGTGTGTGCGTGTGTGTGTTCTTTGAAGTTGTCATCAAAGGTTAGTACAGCGCTGTATGTGTAATAACAACTTAATTATATTGTTTTTAAATTTTACCTTGATAATTTAAGGCAATATTATAAATATTTGAAATGCTTTCATAAAACATAAAATGAGTTGCAAACAAGTTTTGGGTTTTCAAAAGTTTCCAATCTTTGTCAATAAAAATGTTGAGAAAACAAAGAAAAAACTTCAAAGATAATGGCAATTGTCAAAATGACATCATTCATGGCAAAGATGTCATCCGTCATTGACGTTGTGGGAGAGAGTTATTGAGAAAGCAACTCAAGAGCCACCTCCCTCAATTCCGTGCGAGACAAGCTGAGAAATATCCAGTTTCTCCCTCCCGGTGTGAAAGGAATTCTTTGCGGCGAGGCGAATTTTACACTGGGTTCCAGATCACCGCCCAGTTTCGATCCCGAGACTAGCCCTCTCACCTTGACGTGGTTATCAGCTATTGCCGCTTTACTACATCCTCCAAAGAGGTCCTATAACCGTGGACCGAACCCCATATCTGCAATATACGAACAGTGTTCATGGTAATTAGAATTTTGAAATCAGCCGAAACGCTGGATTCATGGAGTTTCGCAGGAATCATGCCTTGATCTCTGGGATGGGAGCTCCTCCGACGGACGAAGAAACGAAGGACGAAAGTTTGAATTCTGTCGACATTCGTTGTCGAAAAATGAACGAGCGGGGGATGAGAGCGGAACACCGTCCGTCCGTCCGGGGGGGGGGTGGGAGGTTGAACGCTGCTGCGTTGTGCAGAGAAGGGTTGAAGCTGTTTTGGCGAAGTCCGTAACTGTTGCAAGGATTTCTGAGACGGGAAATGGAACTTGGAGGAGGAGTGTAGAAGACGAGCTTGGAGGAGCAAATTGGTGGCAGAGATGGCGTCGGAGCAGCGACTTGCCAGTGCCTCGACTTGGATCTTGTTGTTGGTTGCTTTATCGGCGCATTTGTGCCGGGGAGATAGCTCTATCACCCACGATGATTTGAATACGCCTTCGCAGCCCGGCTGCGACAACAGCTTCGTTCTGGTGAGTCCCGGATCTGAATAGGTGTGACTAGAAATAGCTCGTGTTGAGGGAATAGCGAAGTGATTTGGAAAGGAGCGGTGATGGATCCGGGGTTTCTTCTCTTTGGCTTCATGGGGTTAGGGTATTGGAAGAATTTAACAGAGGATTCGGAGCGACGAAGTGCGTGGGCAGTGTCAGGATTGACGGAATTTGGATACTTTGGGTGGATTTGTGTCATTGTGTTCCCTGATAAATTAATAACTTGATGAAATTTGGTCTGAGGAATCCTTAAATTCTGGTACTGTCCTCTGCAATTCGTGCCATGACTTGGTTTGGAAGGTGCTATGGCTTTGGATATCTTGAGTAGGGTTAGTAGAATTTAAGAGGTGAATTATGGTCGAGGGCGGAATCGTGCTTATATCAATTAGTAGCTTTGCTAGTTCTTACGCTGGGCTAGATCAAAGCGGTGTATCATTAGAGCTACTTTTTTGGGTATTCTAGAGTAGAATTCTGAGCTCGTTCTCACACATGTTTGCTATCAAATGCCGAACGCAAATGATGAACAGAGAAGCATACTAAATTTGAAGACCTGTGAGGTCATTCACTGAAAGTTCGAATACAAATTAAATATTGTTCGGTGCTAGTCTGGTTGCATAACATACGTTTTGACTGTGAGACTTGTGTTCTGTTATAAAATGCTTCGATTTTTTGAAGAGACGAGTGGCATATGATTCAATTCTTTCAATTTTTGGTATTGGTATTGGTATTGGTACACACACACACACACACACACACACACATATATATATATATATATATATATATATATATATATATATTGTTTGTTTGTTTGTTTAAATTATTATTATTTTGAAGTTATTTCTTTCTAAGTCCTACACTTGTTTTCCAGGTCAAAATACGAAACTGGATGAACGATGTTGAAGTGACCGAACTAGTGGGTGTAAGTGCACGATTCGGCGAGAAAATATCCGACATTAATGTGGCACTTGATGCTATTCCTCTGGCGATGCCAAGCCTTGTTTCCTCCTGCAATACGTCCTCTATACCGGTTAACAACTTATCTCCATTGTACTCTAAAATTTTGTTTTTTTGCATTCGTGATCTCTGAGTATCTGACAAGCCGGAAATCAACAGAAGACGAAGTATGTAGCTAATCGGTAGTTAAAATCAATTTTCATGTATGCTGATTTCTAACGCAGAAGCGTTCTTGTTCAGTTCTAGACGCGTTGACATTTTTTCCCTTTTCTGACAGCTCAATGGTCATGCCGCTTTGGTACGACGCGGAGAATGCACTTTCACAAGGATGGCACGAACGGCACAGGCAGCCGGTGCCAATGCCCTCATTGTTGTTAATGATAAAGAAGGTACTAAAAGCAAACAGTCTATATTTGTTATTATTATTTGGCAAACTGCAGCTTTAACCGCAGCAGAGCAAAGTTTGGGTTTAAAGCAGTGATTTTCCTCATTATCTAACGTCATGTGAGCACCTCTGTGCTCAGATAATCATTTCTTCTTCTTCTTCTTCTTCATTCTCTCTCACTCTCATCTTATATCATTGTTTTCTTGAGCAGAGCTTTGCAAGATGGTGTGCTCAGAGAACGGCACCTTCACAGATATCCAAATACCGTCGGTTCTGGTACCCAAGTCAGCTGGAGATATCTTGGAGGCTGGTTTACTTCGTGGTGAAACAGGTTCATTTTCAAAGCTTTTGATTTGTTAGACATTGTTTCATGCGGACCTCTCGCACGGGGGAATTGATTGTACCGAATGATCTCAACCATTGTCTTTGTTAGATGCAGATTTAAATTTGTTGAAGAGTGTAGCAACTGCTTCACCCTTTTATATCTTTGTTTGAAGTACCTACTACTTGAAGTATTTACTACTTGAAGTATTTACTACTTGAAGTATTTACTACTTGAAGTATTTACTACACATTCTGATATGAGAAAGTTGTAAAATATTTCAACTGGTTTCTTTGCATTTCCTCTTACATGTCTTTTTCGAGTTTTAATTGAATCTGTTATGTTTTGAGGAAGCAGGGAATGGTTCGACTATTTAGCATTTGCTTCTATAATCTCTGTGCGAGGTCACTTTTAATGTTTTTCCAGTTGTTCTTTTAAACAGTTAAGATCTTGATGTACTCTCCGAAGCGACCCATTATCGATATATCGGAAATATTTTTGTGGCTGATGGCCGTTGGTACAGTTGTTGGTGCTTCTTTCTGGTCAGCCTTAACTGCTAAAGAAGCAGCTCTGGAACACTACCGAAGTATCAAGGTACAAATATTTTCTTATTTTCTGCACATTGTCTCAATTCTAGATACATCTACTGTATTATTGAGGTGATTGGAGATAAAAGTTGTGAAGAAATGTTAAGGTGAAGAAACTCAAAGCTTTGGTAATAAGCAGTCTCCTTCGAATGTGTACGAGGAGTGTCTATTGTATGTTGCACTAGGTCCGCCACTGTTTGTTGTTTCAAGTCCTGATTCGTGCTTTCCAGAGGGCTTTGATTGTGCAAAACATTAGAGGGGAAGGAGCAATTTGAGAAAGTTTTTCAGGTCTTCAATTTTCTTGTTTATTTCTTTGTAGTTTGTTAGCGAGTGGTGAAGAAGCACCCTCATTATTCAGTGCTTCCCAGCTTGTGTTTTGGTAAATTTGGTTCTTTCTCTTGCAGGGTGTAATCTCAGTTCTCACGAAACTTTTCTAGACAAGTGCGTTGGTTATGAAATGGGATAACTAAATTGGATCATTAGCGGTTTATGGAAGTCCGTCAAGAAAATGATCATCGTTCACTCTTTTAATGTTGGAAATTAAGATTGCATGTTGTCTGTGGAGGCTTGCGTTTTCAGTAACCAGGAGACCTGGTAGTCTTACCCCCGAATTGAATTCCGAGTCTTAGAGACTGCGTTTTTTGGATTAGGATACGTTCCATGCTTTCAGAGTAAGAGATCATTTGTGTTTGTTTCATGTTTACGTTATGCAGGAGGGAGGAGATCCCGATCTTTCTGATGCAGATCATGATGGAAACAAAGATGTTGTGGACATCAACGTTATGTCGGCATTCCTGTTTTTGGTTATGGCATCTGTATTTTTACTGGTGCTATATTATTTCATGTCGCAGTGGTTTCTAATTCTACTGGTTATCTTTTTCTGTATTGGTGGATTTGAGGTACCGTGCCCATCTTTGCAAAATTTTCTCATTTCCTTTTAGAACGATACTGAATTGTAGGACTTGAAAATTAGCATTCACCTAAAATTTAAAACTCGCTTTAGCTCTTTTACACGTCATTTCTGGGCACTTTATGATATCTTGATATGGTCTGTCCTTTAAATATGGCGATGTTTTCATGATATATGAATGTGTCGTTCACCCGCGATTTCTTAGCGTCATTTTTACTCTTTAGTGTTATTTGGTGCTTGGATGTCTGTAATGATATGTTCACTGAAGCCGCATTATCAAGAAATTATCATCAAATTATTTGTCTTCCTCTGAAGCAGATGAAGACAAATGTTGTATGTTAAATAATGTGAGATCGTGGGGTTGTGCAGGGTCTACAAACTTGTATGGTAGCCCTTCTTTCTTGGTAATGTTGGCTTAGCTGTTAACTTCTGCTGTCAATGCATTAGTTTCTCGGTCTTCTAGAGACACTCGGTTTTGAAGTAGCGGCAATTTAGTGCTATTGTACAACATCACAAGTGAATGATAGAGTTCAACATGTATGCAATTATATCTTTCTACGGAATTAATTAGACCGCTTTCACGCTATCATCGTCAATGGCTCTTTCTCTGAGACAGTGGTCTTCTGTATATTTCTGTAGGTGGTTTCCCCGAGCAGCAGGTACATACTACGGCGTGCCATTTTTGGGAGCCGTTTCAGGACTTTCCCTTGCAGTGGGCCCCTTCTCACTGTTGTTTGCAGTGTTGTGGGGTATTTATCGAAATCACAGTTATGCCTGGATTGGCCAGGACGTGCTTGTACGTACACCATTCCGTCCTTCAAAAGATCCATCACTTCAAATTTTCATTTACTTTTCTCGCGCACGTACTCACATTTTTTGTTTCCCTTCCCTGGACCATGTTCGTATAACTCTTAGTTGTGCCGTTACGTTCGTACTGAACCAATGTGTAATACCCAAATACATCTTTATTGTGAGACTGGTCACTTGCAGGGAATTTCATTGATTTTGAGTGTTCTCCAAGTTGTGCGCTTACCTAATATCAAGGTAGGTGTCCGGTCTTTGCAATGATTATTGCATTGATTAGCGTGGTGCGAAGAAGTCAAACGCTACTTTTAGGATTTGCAGCTTTTTTGGAGAATTATTTCACTGATCATATATGCAAGCTACTGGCATGGCATGATATTTAGATTTGTATTTGTTTATCATTGGTTTACTGTGCTGAATGCAAACAGGTTTCTACTGTATTATTGAGTGCTGCCTTCATATACGATATATTCTGGGTATTCATATCCCCGCTCATTTTTGATGAAAGCGTCATGATTGTGGTATGTTCATCAATCTGGCTTTTCCTATTTAAGACGCGCGTTTTTGAAATTGTTTCGACTTCTAGGTTGTGAACTATTGAGTGCTTTGACAAATGTCGTCTTTTTCATCACTTCAAGCTGACGATCGGTAGCTTGGGTATCACAATACACAAGTGCTGAGATATGACGATTGAACTTTTCTGGGACAGGTTGCTCGGGGAGATAAGACCAATGGAGAGGGTATTCCTATGCTTCTTAAAGTTCCACGTCTTTTTGATCCATGGGGTGGCTACAGTATCATTGGTTTTGGCGATATTTTGCTTCCAGGACTTTTGGTTTCCTTCTGCTTACGGTACTCCACTGCATATTTCTTTGTGGTTGTTACTGCCATCGAGTGGAAGAATAAAATGCCAGTTAACATTTTGTCCATGTGATGCGAGTTTGTTTAAAGTCCAATGTCATAATACATTATTTATTTTTCCCATTATCGTATCTTTGTTTCCAGCGCACTTAGTTATTGTAACGTCTAGCATACAGCGGGGAGTTTTAGCTGAAATTGCGTTTGAAATGCTTTCTTGTTTGGTGACATAAGTATATTTTGACCTTTTATTCTTTACTTTAAATTATAAGACAAACACTCCTAGCATTTGGATTGTGAATTGGTTGCTAATTTTTCTTTTTTGAATTCTTATTGTTGCTTGTGAGCTTCAGGTATGACTGGTCTACAAAGAAAAGACTCTTCAATGGATACTTTTTGTGGACGGCAGTGGGTTACGGCCTAGGTTAGTCCCCGCTCCTGTCCCTCTCTCCCACCTAGCGATCTCAGAACGTACTGAAGTTTTGTGGTTAATGTTCAAAGTATTAACGGGTTTAAGCTCATTTTACAGGGTTATTCTGGACTTATATAGCGCTCATTTTGATGAACGGGAATGGCCAGCCTGCACTGCTTTACATTGTTCCTTGCACTCTAGGTATTTTTCTATCTACATTCAAAATTATGTCTATTTGCAGATAGTGTCTTGGTAGAGGCTTATCAGGCCATGCATGAATTTGTTTTCATTGGTAATCTAGGTTACTCTGTTTTCATTGTCCTTCTTTGTGTGCTGGATTGTAGCTTATGTGACAAGTTGATTATCTTGCATTGGGTTCACAGAGAGAACGACAAGATGATTGTATTGCAGATAAAGACTTTTGCTCTTCACAATTTTAGGGGATGAGATTAGAATATTACAAGAATATATAACAAAAAGCATGCTCACCAACTTGTAAATGTGTGCAGGAACCGTGTTTCTTCTGGGATGGTGGCGGGGAGAGTTGATAACTTTGTGGAACAAAGGAGAACAAGTTCCTCCACTGGAGGACTATGTGAATTCGTCACAAATCGATGAGCATCCGGACAGAAGTTCATAGTGACTGGTGGGTCAATGTTCTACTTAGTGAACTAGACAGAGTCTTTGGTATTTCTCATTTTATATTAGCCTCATTTGAATTTCGGATGGTCAAATTCAACGATGGTAGCAGATTTTTGGGATCCAAAAACGTTTGATCTCGTAATCGCAATACCCGTCGTCAGAATGACTATCACAGTTTGTACATTTTTCTAGTCCTTGAAGTTGCAGCCTCTCAATTAGTATATTTTTGTTCACCGGCTGGTTGATACGGTATTTTGGGTACCAGGCATTTATTATTTACCAACATTTTGAAGTTCATGTTACTAGTGCAATCAACAGTGTTCAACAGTAGGATCAACCAGTCGTGATCCTGAACTTATTTGTGCGAGGAACGCCTTAGATTCCCACGACAAAATTCTCATCACCTTACTACTAAGTGCATAAATGGGATCAGGCGGTTCCCGTCGAATTGCCCCCGATTCACCACTCAAGCACACCATGTAGTTCACTTACATGTGACCAATTTCAATACCTTAGAGAACCATGCACAACCTATAGAGATTGTACATGATCTCCGAAAGTTTCTCCCAACTGCCAGTCAAAGTTGCCCAAGCACCAGTCTGTCTAGAGACGATACTGGCACGTTGCAGGAGAATCCAGCTAATTTCGAAGGACAACCAGGGCTGGTTCGCCGATGCTAAGCTGTCAAAGTAGCAGCAGTAGCAATCTCTTCAACAGCACATGCATTAAAGGAATGCAATACCATGTCGCAGCATGCGAAGCATACGCCTCCCGAAACAGACAAAACCAGTCAATCAACTACAACCACAGAATCGCTGAACAAACGATAAAAAGTCAATTCTACGAGGAAAGGCCGCGTGGAGCTCGTGGTCGGCACGGCGTGACACAATGAACGCTCACGCATCTGGAGAATAGGCATCGTGAGGTGGAAAGCAGCAGCAGCGAGAAAATGCACCGAATGGAGAAAACCAGTGGCGTCTGCATCAGACCCACAACTAAATATATACACACACACATACATATATATATATATATGTATCAACCAACGAACCCCAACACAGTCAACGAGAGATTCCGGTTTTTCGAACGGCATGTGGTTGGATTCGGCAGGGCTATACTGGGCTATATCAGGATGTGCTGGGTTGCGATGAGAGAAAGAGAGGAATCGTAGGGATCGGCGAGAGCGGAGGCACACCAACAGTCCGACCAAGTGGGTGTGGTGGTGTTCCAGATCATCTCCATCTTCATCTTCATCGTCGTCCCACTCTGGTCGCCTGATTGATGGAGTTTAAGGGGTCGATCGATGCACCCAGCGATGGGATCGCAGGAAATCCCTCGAAATGATCTCTGGAAGCAACGAGGAAAAAGTAGAATTAGAAGCAGAAGAAGAGATAGATTGATGGAACCCGTTGGGGTGGGATCGTTCGTTCGGTGCAATTTGCTTCTTTCAGTTTCACTTGTGGCTTCATTCGGTGCAGTGGCGCCGCGGCGTCGCCTTGACGAAGCTTTCCTTCCTTGAGGAGGAGGATAAGGCCACGCTGGGAAGCTGCCTTTTCAATTAAATTAAATTAAATTAAAACTTACACCCCCACCCCCTCTCCTCGCACACACCCACGCCGTGTATGTGTATGTGTTTATATATATATATATATATATATTTATTTATTAAGCACGCAAACACCTTGTTTGTTTTTTGAAATATATATCTATGTAATGTTTGTGTGTGTGTGAAAGTATTTTTGCTATTGCAGGTGAAAGGTGATAAGAAGAGGACTATTTTTGGATTACTCTGATTTCATTAGAATGGGTTCTCCTTGTTGTAATTTACACAAAGATAAAAAAAGAAAATTAATTATTTAAGAGTTTTGTGTTATGAAAGAAAGTATTACAAGTTTGAAATTGGGATGCTATTATTTGATGTTTCATGAACTTGACTATTTTAAAGATTGAATTTATATTTGAAAAATCTAATAGAAAAGGAAAAAAGGAACCCATTATTGTGGCAGCAAAGCAAATCCAAAACAACTCTTTCTTGGTCAAGAGTAGGATGGTGAAATTTGAGTTAACCAACATGTATCTTTTCTATTTATTTATTTTTATTTATTCTAATGGTTTTGTTTGTTTTGTTGTAAGTGTTTCAATTATGAAATTTACAAATTATGAAATAAAATTAAAATATAATTTAAAATAAGTAATTTTATACTAATCTAGATTATTTTTTGTAAAAATAATATATTATTATTATTATAAATAAATAAATAAATAAATAAATATATATATATATATGTAAATTTTATTAATTTCAAAACTATATAAGAATTTAGGGTAGCTATTTTTTTCAATTAGTAAAATGGTTATTGATTTATAAAACTTAAAAAAATTATTAAATAACTTTGATAATATATATATATATATATATATATATATATATATATAACACAATATAAAAATGGTTTTAGTGCATTACAATAAAGAGTCTTATAAATGTAGAAAAGAATTTTATAGAATTATATGAGTATCAATCTTTAGTTTTATATAATATTGCAAAAAATCTTTAAAACAATTTTAAAGTATTTTATATGAAGATATCTTATTTTAAACCTTTAATTTGCCAAATTTTAAAAAACTATTCTAAAAACTTGATTAGATTCTTGTATACTTAATATATCCTTATAAAAAATTATACTAGGTTAAAAATGTAAATATCTATTATAAAAACCTAAAGCTAGTTTAGATAGGAGTCATAAATGTTTTTAAAAGCAGTTGTAGATTGAGATTAAATAAGATCTAAAAATGTAAAAATAAAAACAGTTGTTGATGTTGTTGTCGTGGTTTTTTTCTTTTCTTTCAAACATCACCTTCAAGTGAAAAATAAAAAAGTACTAAATCTAAACAAAAATAATGCTATTTTAGAGATTTTAACAAATTTAGACTTCTAACTCTATTATTATAGATGCATGAAAGAATTTTTAAAAGATTAACTTGCTTTAATCATTTTAAAAGAAGAATTATATTATAATTAATATTGATTTTAAAAATAGGATAAATGACTATGGAACGATAATCTAATCTATTAGGATACAAGAATTTCGACAAAAATGTTTCTCATAAGATTTGCTAAACTAAATTCGTTTTTAAAAATGGTACAATATAAGTCAACAAGTTTTATATTAGAATTAGCATAGAAATGCCTTTGAGCTTATTTCAAATAATATAAAGAAGAATTTCTTTAACCATTCAATGATTAGCTTCAAAATATTTGAAAAATGTTAGTAGAAATATTAGTTTTCCTATTCTGTTCAAATTTCTTTCTTTCAAACATATATGAACACTATTTTAGAAAACTTCTAACATAATGGACTGGTATACTGATTAATTTTCATTTCTTTTCTTTTTGAGGTGAAATTTAAGTTACTTTTAGTGCTAAAAATACTGGCTTAGAATGCGAGGACCTTGTATGCAGTTTGTATCCAAAAGAGAAAGTTTATAGCAAATAAAATCAAATAAATCAATTCCATTCACAGTTCACAAGACTGTGTCAATGAATTGTATCATGTTGAAAATTCCTCCTCATACTGTGTGAATTCCAGTGAGTTTCGAATTCTGACCTTCACATAAACCAATAAGAATACGTAGCATAAATAAGATAACAAATTGATCATTCTTTAAATTTAATTGAACATAACTCCCACCAAATTGGCCTTCCTCTTAAAGATTGTTGGCACACTTGAATGGAATTACTATCAGATGAATGCTTTAATTGTGTCCTTGTCGTAGCAACGATCTCTCTTTAGATAACACAGTTTTAGGTCATGAATATGTTTGGTCTTCACCGATCCCAACATTTATGTATTGGAAAAAAACAGAATCATGAGATGTTAGGGTTCCGATTCAGGTTTCATGCTAAGTCTGTACACAACCGTCTTCTGTTGATCGATCTCACTATCAGGACTGATATCAGATCTCATTGTCAGAATCACTACTAGGTCTCACTCTCTGAGATGAGCACCGAGCCAACTCAGAAGAGCGCTCTCAATCGTTTTCTTTATTGAATCTGCAACCTGGTCTGCTCAAATTTCCATTGCACTCCGGTAAACAGCGAACTGGTTAGATGCTAGAAAGCTGAATTTCACCGCTATCTACGCACAACAACTGTGATGAAGCTAGAGCCATGAGGATTTACAGAGATTACAAGCGCCGGGCCCTTGCCTGCCTGCTCTCACTGGGGGATGAGCTACGAGGCTTCGGGTACAAGGGCGCGTTTCAGAGCTTCCGTGATGTCGTCGCTCGTGGTCGGAGATTTGCTCACAATTCGAGGCTGAACACACACACACATACAACGCCACCGAAATGTGTCAGAGAAAGCGACATGATCGGTTGACTAGAATTATGTGCATTAGTGTTATCTCATGACATGGGTCTCAGATTTGCAAATCAGCGGGAAGTGCAAGATTGTCAAGAGGTTTGTAGCAAGAGCGCTTTGTTCGTCATCGGACAGTGACGTGGTTTGGGAAGGACCAGGAATGCACCTTCATAATAATAACGCACACAAGCCTGTCCTGGTGCTTGGCCATGCTGCACCGGGAGATGTCCATCGCGAGACGCTCCAGCTCTTTCATGATCTGGCTCTGGATGTGGGGGTGCGATCGGCACGTCATCTCAATCACGATCTGGTGCGGCAAGTCCACGTGCACCTGGATGTTGTCGATGCAGCTGGCCTTCTTCTTCGCATCGGAGTCGATCTCCTTACTTTCCGGGCTGGTTCTGATGAATGCGGCATTCACGGCCACTTTCCTCAGATCTGGACTGGACAAGTTATGACATGTCGCTCTGTTGTTCTGCTTCGGCGTGTGAACGGTTAGCACCTCACTGGAAAGAGCGGCATGAGCCTTCAGTATGTCTGCGCGCCTCTTCTGTGTATCCTTCAGACGCTGATGAAGGTTCTTCACGTACTCAACGGAGTCATCAACAACTGTGGACCTGTCACGCTTTTGCGGTAGAGTCCAACCAGTGAGCGCATTAAAAGGACCTTTGGAAACTCGAAATCGACTACATCGCATGTTGTTCACCTGATGAAGCTTCTATTGTCTCTATTGGTCATGAAAGCAACCACGCATCCGATGATGGTTCATTCAAGAATATAATCTTTTTATACAATGTGGCATGGAATCCAACCGGCGTGGCCGCTATGTTCTACGACTGTTGGGAACGCTCTAAATCACTTGTTTTGACGATGTTTCATAGCTGGTTGGGATGGAGCCGATTACCTTAGGCCCCGGAGGCAACAAAGACTCCAGGATAAGAAATTTGTTCGTCATGTCGTCTCTTCGTTGTCGTTCCCTGATAATATGACCAGCCTGATCATTTGGTCGTCTGAAACTCGTTTTTGGTCCAGAATCAACAACTTGAGAATTGGGGCCTCGGAAAGTACGTGATTGAGGGATCACTAGCTCGCTGCGTGTTCTCTTTAGACTGTTCGGAGAGCACGAAGTTTCGTAGCCTGATCGTTCTCTAGGAATGTAAACGCTCGGTGACCCACTGGCATCGACCAATTTAGGTCGACCTGGAGCTTGAGATACTCCACATTCGAAGTTGGAGCCAGGTTGATGATTTGTGCTGTAAAGATGCCGGTGGGGGAGGAAGGTTCCAAGTGGGGAAAGCTGCTGCAGGCATCCCGGTGTAGACGTCCCAATGGCTTTAATGTGCTTTCGGATTGATCTACCAGCATCAGAGTTAGTGGCGTATTCGGAAATCCGACCTCCGTTGTGTCCGCTGTGACAAAGAGATCCATCCAGTATGCTTTGCTGCACGACATCTGTGCGAGCTTGAAGTGGCTCTACAGGCATTGACTGAAAATGTGATGGACCAGCTTCAAAAGAGGCGGCACCTGTCTGGTAAAGCGGAGTACCATTTGTGAAACCGTCTACTTCCTCAACTTGACCCGGATGATTCTCTCTATGTACCGATGGGCCCTGGAGATATTGGTATAATTGCTGTTGCAATGCGCTATCTGCACCATCTAAGAAGCTTGCGTAGTCGAGCGAATAACCGCTTGGGCTGGCGTTGTCATTCACTCCGTTTCCATGATGAGTTTTCTCCATACCCGTCGTGTACATGCCCGGCATTGATCACTCAAGTCACTGTGAACTTCTTCACTAGATCCACTTGCCTCATCGGATTCTAAACTCGTCTTCGACTTGGTAAAAGAGTTCGCAAATCTATCCCACCCAACCAAATATCTATCCGAAATTTGCCAAACATCACAGGCCCTCGAACCATTCGACCCTCGATTCAGAAGATCCAAGGTCAAATTCCAATGAACCTTTAGCTCCGCAGTCTTATCAGACCTGCAACCTATCTCACCAGGTCAGCGCTACACCCAAGCTGATGATGAAGATGCGTGCCGGTGAGTAAATGGAAAGTACTGCACTGTGAATAGACAAGTCCACATCTCATAAGTACAACTTATCGTAGAGCCTTATCGCCTAATAGTACCGCAAGACTTGAGCTTCACGATGCCTCGTCTCAAACTACAGCTAGGTCATTCAATACCGAAGGGCGCATTCATGTCCAACCATTAAGCCCGGAATAAGTTCATACCTCCTTTCAAGTCCATTCTTAGTTTGACAAGGTGTAGAGAAGTAGAGGAAAAAGAGTTGATCGATTTCCTACTCCTTCAAAACCCTGCTAGATCACTAAGAATGGCACCCTGGCCCAGCGACACATGACAACGAGACCACTATTGTTTAATTGTTAGGCTATGTAATCTAGGTTTTGAGAAGCAATATACGAATTTGATACTTCTGGGTGGACCGCGCACACCTGTGTACCTCGTAACGGTCTACGGCGAAGAAAAACAAGAGAAAGATCACATGACCTCGGTTGAGGGCTCAGCAACCAGCAGTTGGGGGCCGAGAATCGCCCAGAGGATGCTAGTGAGTGCGCAAACGATAACAAATAAAGCTTAAGGAGTAGGTTTTTCGCTAACTGCATCAAAGTCTGGTTCTACAACAAGCTAACAATCATCAGTGGTTGCGGTGTTTGCAGCTTCTAGGCTGGCTTTGCATGCATGTACGGAGTGAAAACCAAAAAATGTTAGGTAATCGAAAAAATCACCTCGTGCGGAGTGGGCGTCGAGGAATTCCGCAACGACCGAAACGTCCATTGTCAAGCTTCGCCCTGGTAATCGTCCCAGCTGGCCAGGAGGGATGGGGCCAGATACTCCATGCCAGTCAAGGGTTAGGAAAAGACCAAGTCCTAGCCTGGTTTTAAAATAAACCATTTCACTCTGTCTCATCGAAGCTTTGATCAGATATAGGAACATCCGTCGAATCACGCAGATACTTGTCACAAGTAGTTTCCCTCTCCCTCTAAATTCCATTTCAGTATTACGCAACCCCGCAGAAAAAGCAACTTTTTGCTCCGAAGCAACCGCCCCTAGACCAGCCATCGCAAACCCCCGCGACATCCTTCATTCTGATATGAGCAATTCTGGAAACAATCCCCGTACTCACTGGGTTTGACCTCACAGATTGAGCTCGTCCGAATGATTTGACCCTGATCAACATTCGATGGTTTGAATCTTACAAAGCGGGTCGTTGTCAACAGGATGATGGATGTGCACATGCGCTTATCGTGTTCAAAGTCGACACAAGCCTGTACGACTATTAATGAGACTTACATTGAGTGTTATATTCATAAAGGGGCTCCATCGTTACTATTCATAGTAAATGCTTAATATAAAATTGTTAATCTGGTAACTCATGGGTCAGGCGCAAATCAGTGGCAAAGATGGCACACACACCTATTAAATGGACATCCAGATGCCGTATCCTTTTCACACCGCAGCAGCTGCAGCTGATCTGGTGGGTATCTGTCGAACGCGGCTGTTGAAGTTTCAGGAGCCGGAATTGAACTGGATTTACAGCTTCTACGGCATGAGTAATTCCTTGTCACCAAAAAAAAAAAAAAAAAAAAAAAAAAAACGAAGCGAAGGAGAATACAGACTGTCCCCATCATTAGCAGGGTCATTTCCCCTACTTACCGTCCTGTGCTGCGGTTGAAACCCGGCTTGGCCAACCTGTGAGTTTCTTTTTCATTTTGCTAATTTTAATTGCCCCAGTTTTGTCTTCCTTGCAAGCAAACCTTTATCTACGGCTAGCCGTAACCTAGATGTGTAAACCAAGGTGAGGGATCTCTGAAAAGTACGGGAACGCCATGCTGGGAATAAGTAAGGCTCGTTTCCCTTGCGGATAGGTACTCTCAATTAAATAAGCAGATCACACTCAAAATATGCTTCAGTCACTTTTCTCGAGAAGGAAAATCTACCTACATTTCGTGCTAGATTTTGTGAGTGTGGTCAGAGTACCCGATGAACTGCCATTGTTTCCAATTAAAAATGCACGCGAGAAATGCACACTACCGTTTCATATTTGATGGCCAATTTTCAGATCTAAAGGGTTCATAACAAGCATGCCTGGTCGAGACCATACTTATGAGGTCATTTGCGAGGAGTAGTCTAAATTATTTTGTTTCACAGAATACTACACCAAGAATATCGGGAAAACAATGACACTTCATTTCATTACAAGTAAAATCTTAAATATCAATTAGAAGTTCTTATTTCTTAGTAGTATCACACAAGTCACAAAACTCCCACTAAATAATAACTTCTCCATTGATGTTACAACATGTTGTAATTTTTCCACTTCAATGGAGAAGTAAAGCATTAGTTTGAGTGTAGAGTTAGAAAATCATGCAATGTTTTGAATGTATTAGGAGCTAGTGCTTTAGTAAAAATGTCAACTACGTTTCTATTAGTAGATATATAATCTATTTGTAGAAATCTATTTTTAACTTACTTTGAATCATGTGATATTTAATATCAATATGTTTAGTCAAAGAATGAAATTCAAGATTAATTGTCAATTTAATTGCACTTTGTGAATTAGAGTAAAAAATAGTAGGTTTTTCTTGAATATAGCTAAGATCTATTAATATTCATCAGTACCAAATATTTTTTTTAGTTGCCATGTAGCAGGCAATATATTTGGTTGTGCAGTCAATTAAACAATCTTGTTTCTTTGATCTCCAACTAATTGATCCACCATTTAAAAATAAAACATAACTGCTTTAAAATTTTCAATCATCCAAATTAGCCACATAGTCAGTATCAACAAATGTAGTAAGCAAATTTGATGAATTTGTGCCACCATAAATAAGTTTAAAATCTAAAGTGGCTTAAATATAGTAAAATATTTGTTTTATAATATTATAATATATTTAAATAAATTTTGATTTGAAACATGAGACGTTATTTATAAAGTAAGTAATATCAAGCCAAGTGCTTGTAGAGGCAAATTGAAGATTATCAATAATATTTATGAAAGAATTTTTTTTAACTAAGTAGTTATTACTAGAATTAATACTTCAAAGAATAGAATTATAATTTTTTGGAATATTAATTAAAAATAATTCTAAAAATCCATAATTACATAAAATCCTTTCTAAATAAGTACGTTGATGTATAAATAAAGTTTTGCAACTCGATTTCTTTTGATTTGTAAACCAACATATGTATTTGGATCATTGACTTTGGTTTCAAAAATGCTGTTCATTGTCATAAGTATATAATGAATGCATTGAATGTCTTGATAACAACAAAAACTATTATCAATAAACATAAGAATAATAAGTTGATTCATATTATTGGAATAATAAATACATGGATGAATAGAATTTTGTTTAAATTTATGAATAATAAGAAATTAATCAACATGTTGATTCTATGTACAATTAGCTTGTTTTAAACTATAAAAATCCTTGTATAAATGATATACTTTGTTTAAAAATTGAGAATATTTAAAACTTGGAACTTGCTTCATATAAGTCTCTTGATCAAATTAGGCATGTAAAAAAGTTGTTTTTATATCAAACTATCATATGTGCATATTATGGCTTACAACAACAATAAGAACAAGTTTGATAAAATCATATTTAATAATAGGTGAATATGTCTCTATAAAATCAATTCCATATTTTTGTGAACATCTTTTTGCAACCAATCTTGCTTTGAATAGATTAATAGTGCCATCAAAATTTGTTCTAAATACATAAATCTATTTGCAATATATAGCTTTCCTTCCAAAAAGCAAATTTGTTAATTGGTAGGTAATATTATGAATTAAAGATCAATACTCTTCATATATAGCATCTTTAAATTCTAAAGAGTGTGTTGAAAGAAGAGACTCTTCATATGATTGAGGAACAAAAGGCATAGATTGAGTTATAAACTGCATAATTGTTGGAATAGAATTTGACTTCAATAAAGATGTAGATATATTTTGTGAAGCATTTGATGATTTCAAAGATCTTAGTAGAGTAGTGGATGGTTTCGATAATTGATGCTTCAAATAAATTGAACTTAAAATAGTTGTAGGTTCTAAATTTTTGATATTTTCTACAAAGAATGCAAAAGATAATATCATCACAAAATTTATATGTATATTATCACTCATTTATAATATCTAAAATAATTAGAAAGATGACAAGATTGTTGTATAGAATGAAGATGATGAAAATTGTGAATTTAATTCAACAAAAGCATCATAAGAATTTTGATTGAAAGATAGAACAATAAGAACATTGTCAAAATTCAGCTAAAAAAGATCAATTGTAATAGGTAATGCATCGTATTGAATTGAATTGTGTTGTAAATTTTTAATAATATCTAGATTGTTATTACAATTGAAGTCATCGCTACTGTGCATATTGCCATAAAGAACTTGATTTTTAGAAAGAGCTTGATTGTCATTACTTCGACTGATTATATACCTATGATTTTTTTATACAACAATTTTATCACTCTTATTGATATCATGATCTTAAATATCATGGTCATTATTTTCATTTTTGCTTCTAATAAGATGATTTTGGTTGTTGTGAAAATAATTTTTGTTGCTCATATTGATATCATATCTATGATTGATATAATCTATAATTACATTGTTTAGATGAAAAATATCATTTTTTATAGGATTATTTACATTAATTTTATTTATTTGAAAATTATAAAGATTTAGATATGTGATAATAAAATTTTGAAGTATATTTATAAATGGCATATTTACTTCTAATAAAGAAGATCATAAAGATTCTTAAAAAAGAACTTTAAATGAAACTATATTTAAAAAAATATTTTCTTTAGATAATATTTCTTGTATATAATTATGTTCATCAAAGATAACATCTTCATTGATTATTACTTATTTATATGTTAAATTCTAGATTTGATAAGCTTTTGATTCATCCAAGTATCAAAGAAATAATCTAATTTAAATTTTAGCATTAAGTTTCTTTTGTAATTTGTGATATATTTGAATATAAAATTTTCATCAAAAATATTGTATATGAGAAAATAAAGGCTATTTTTAGTATAAACTTCAAAAAGAATAATACTTGAAAGAAGATGAGAACATGTGTGATTTAAGGTGTAAATATCATGGATATATATATATATATATTTACTCCAATTGTTACTTATATGATTTGGTAGAAGTAGATAAATATAAATTAATTGCATAAAGTCTTCTAAAGAAGCTTCTTAGAAGTTTCATAGATATAGTTTTGACTTTAGATGTGTTTGTAAGTTAGAAACTTGACCAAAAAATTAACCACATGTTGGTAGCTTGTGGAACAAGTTAATTCCGTGTAGTAGCTTGTTTCACATGCTAACTATGTAGTATATACATAGATAACTTACCTTGTAAGTTAAGACATGTTGCTAACAAAGTCAATACATGTTGGATGTCTTATAGAATATTGCCATGTAGCTCCTAGTTAGAGAATATATATGGAGGCAAGAGTGAAGCCTTCTTTACTCTTATTAATGCCTTTCTAGTCTTTAGTCTTGTTTCAAGACTTTTTAGTTTTTTTTTTTAGTTTTTTTTTTTTTTAGCAATAGCAATTTTAGTTGAATATTATAACATCTTTGACTGATTTTCTAGTTCTTTTTAGTGATATAAGAGTATATTGAGGATTTTCTTTCTTTAAGATTCATGGCCTTGATAGTTCAATAAGAGTGCTAATATACTATTTTT